GGATTTATAGTATAAATCCCACTGAGTATAAATCCCACTGACTGGAGTCAGGTTTAAAATACCACAAGTTTGGGAGTCTGATATTAAATTATTATGTTAGTATGTTATAACTGTTGATGTATGTTGAAAACTTTGGGGGTGATTAACTGGCTGGTTTGTAATTTTGGACTCTCAGGACTTTTGTATACTGTTTTGCAGTTATTGTACATGTTATAAGTTATACTTGACCTTAATAAACATTTAAAAAAATAAATAAAAAAAAGTACAAAAATATTTGCATACCCGAGACAAACACTAACTTATACTGTTATGCAGCTATTATTTATGTACTTTAGCTGATCAGAGGAAGATCCAGTAGTAAAGGTACTGCATGTTTCCAGGCTCTGTAAGATGACTTACATATGATTTTGCTTGCAGGTTGGAGCTGAGAGGGTAGTGTGCTCAAAAGGAAGGGTTTTTCTTAAATGGTTGAGATAGTTGATGAAAGTGTTTGCCTCAGTCCTTCAGTCTGAGTATCTCTAAATACTGATAAATACTTTCTACTCGTCAGTATCATTTCCGAGGAATCATTCATCCAATGGTTCTTAAGGGAAAAGCTATAAAAACTTTAGATCCAGTGTATTGTATTGGCTACCACTGGTGAAACTAGCAAGCTGTTCTTAAGCGGAGGCTTGGAAAGCCCTGCTATGGCCCCGTTCACACGGAGAAGTTGCCACGCCAAAAACACGGATGGTAGGTGGATTTTCCGGGCGCGATCACACTGCAACATCTGGGAAATGTAGTGCACCCGTGGCTAAGCCGTGGCTTGTTGCCGAAGATGCGGAGTAAAATACCACCACGTACAATGTACTAGTTTTCGGAAAACGCGGGGCAAGGGCGGGCGTCTGATCGCATTTCCGCTGGAAACCCGTGGCATCCGGCGCCCACTCATGTCCCCTCGTAAACTGGATGGTTTTTTTTTTTAAGTCCCCACAGGATGCGCACCAACTATCATGCACATGCGCAAACTTCGATGAGACAAAAAAAAAAATTCCGTTTGCCACAGAAGCAGTGCGGCACAATTGCCGGTGTGAATGTGCCATGCTGCTTCTTTGCTGTGCTGCAGACTAGCTGTCTGATCGGCACCTAACGCCTAACCACGGGACCTCGACAGGACGTCTGATCGGGCTGCCCCACGTTACTTTGTTCTGGGGCAAACAGCCACGCTCCCCCCCCCCCCCCCGCATTTTCCGGCCCGTGCCTATGAATGGCAAGCTCACCATGTCACTCTTTGAAACTTGGTCCATAGTTGCCAGATAATGTCTATGATATGGTTTGTAGGAGGTTCTTTCGTTCTGGGGTATTTTTGTATTAGGATTTGTTCCTTGGTACTGATCATCCATTGTTTTTGTTGCCTACAGGGGCCATTTTGCAGAACTGCTGAGCTATTGGCAGCTTCTGGGAAAAGATAAGAACTCAATGGCGGCAGAGTATTTTAGCTCCCTGAAGTTGTATGAAAAAAGCTGTGTGAGAGAAGAAAGTATGATCTCTCTGGCTGATCTTTATGAGACTCTGGGACAGTTTCTTAAGGACTTGGGCCTTCTCAGTCAGGTGAGTGTCACTGCAAGATGAAGGACACTTGGAACAAGAACTGAAAAAGTAAGAAAAAAACCTGATGAAAGCCCTTATATGTTTTTTTTAAAACTTTTCTCAAAATAAATACATGTATTTTTACTTATAATAAGTTTATATGAAGTTCTAACTATTGGCCCATCATCAGGTTTTTTTCTTACCTTTTTGTTTCTTCATTTAGTTTTATTGGGTTAAGGTCCCCCCCCTTTGGTTTTGTTTGAAGGACATTTGGAAACCTTGTACAGTATCAGATCCCATTTTTTGCTTTCAACAATTGAAAAACAAGCCAACTCTCAGGATTTGCTTAGCTGATGATAGATTTTTGCTTGAAGTCCTTGTTCCAAGCATCATGGAAGATCTACCTGGAGATTGCGCACGTACCGGACGACTTCAGCTTGTATATTGTGTATTATGTACTCAGCATTAGGTGGTCCTTAAATTGGTGATGGCGATTGATTTTTGAATTGTTCGTGCTTTGTATAATATATTCTGATATCTTCTACCTTATATGCTTATAAATTCTATTGAATACCTATTATTCATTTTGTGTTGGATTATATTGTTTTATCATAACATATGCAATATATTTAGTTAGCTTGCTTCACGGTGTTCTTGCAGTTTTCTATATTTTCTAATCATGATCCCCATTTGTATTTTGATTTTTCATGGTCTCTGGCAAAGAACTTTCCTACCTCCTGGTACTCATGATTTTTGTCAATTGATTTCCGCCCCCTCCCCCGTTTCCTTTATAGGCTGTTGCTCCTTTGCAGCGCTCCCTGGAGATCCGAGAGACCGCCCTTGATCCAGACCATCCTAGAGTAGCCCAATCTCTCCATCAATTAGCCGGAGTTTATGTACAGTGGAAGAAATTTGGTAATGCCGAGCAGTTGTACAAGCAGGCTCTCGAAATCTCTGAAAATGCTTATGGAACTGAACATCTCAGAGTTGCTCGTGAACTTGATGCTCTTGCAACATTGTACCAGAAACAGAACAAGTAAAGAAAAGGCCCTTTTCTATCTAGTTTTATCAAGGGTATTGCTTTGGGTGGTGGAGGAATTTGTTAGCAGTTGGGCTTGAAAATTCACAGGGCAAGGAATTGTGTTTAGGGACATTGGGACCGGGCGGGGAGGGGAAGGAGCTCCCCCTCAATAAGTGGGGTAGTTTGGGTGGGGCAAATTATTGTAATAGGTGGTGCTTAAAATGGTTTTAAATATGTCATATTGATAAAAGAAACTTAAGGAGAGGTGGGATAGAAGTGGATTTCGACTGGAGCAGGGTTCAGACTGGGGTTCAGATCTCCTCTTACCATGAAACTTGGGCCAGCCATTCTCTCTCTGCCTAACCTGCCTCACAAATGTCATTTGCACCATTCATTTTAGGTATGAACAAGCTGAACATCTAAGGAAAAAAGCCTTCAAAATTCAGCAAAAAGCTGTGAGGCGGAAAGGCAGCCTGGTAAAAATATTTCTGATGCTTTACTTTCATCATTTATCCCTTTTTTTTTTCAAATTTCACAAAACAAAATATGGTTATTTTCAGATGGAATGGTATTTTGGTCAGTGTTGAATCTCTCATTAGAGATTTGGTGCTTTACTTTTTTTAAAGGAGTACATATACCCCTCTCACCTGACTCATTTCTTCTTTTCATTTCTTTGATGGAGCTGATCCTTTCCTGGAACACTGCTCAACAATCCCATTTCAAAGTTTTCCCTTGTTTGTGGTATTTATTTACATGCTTCATTTATAGTCTGCCTTCCTAACTGAAAATCAAGGCAAATTACGGAACTCAAAGACAATGCAATAAAAATGGTATAATCCATACAACAAACAGTACAAGAATAAAATTAAATTGCCTAACATTTCCACAAAAGTTGGAATCCCTATTATTCCATTTATAAAACCCTATTATTCCATTTATAAAAAATACCATTCTGAGGATTTGCTGCAACTTTATTTCTTTTATAAAGGTGGCTCAAGTGGTTAAGACGCTGAACTGCCAACCGGAAGGTCGGTAGTTCAGCAGTTTAAGGCCTGAGTGCCACATGACGGAGTGAGCTCCTGTCTCTGGCCCCAGCTCCTGCCAACCTAGCAGTTTGAGAGCAAGATATTGCAAATAGATAAATAGGTACCGCTTCGGTGGGAAGGTAACAGCATTCCGTGCGCCTCGGCATCTAGTCATGCCGGCCACATGACCACGGAAACATCTTCGGACAGCGCTGGCTCTTCGGCTTGGAAACGGAGGTGAGCACCGCACCCCTAGAGTCGGATTCGACTGGCTTTCGAGCAAGGGAAACCTTTACCTTTACCTATTCCTTCTATAAAAATCCCATCCTGAACAATGGGTTTCATCGAATGGGGGACCTGCTAGAACTTCCACGGTGTGTGCAGAAGATCCCAGCTCCAGTCCTCAGCTTCTCCATTGCTAAAGGATCTCTGGATGCGGGGCTGAGAAGAACGCCGTGCCTAAACCCCTTGCCCCTGCCGGTCAGAGGATACAGCACTTATTTATTTATTTGCAACGTTTACATTCAGCCTTTCTCCCCAGTCAGAGCCACTAAGGTGACTAGTGATAAAAATTAAAACAAGCATAGTAAAAATACACCATAAAGCCGATTAAAAGCCACAGCTACAAAATACAGCAAATTGAAACAGAGAGCAGGATGGAGGGATCACTGAAGTGATGCAGGACAAAACAAAACGAAAAAGTCTTCACCCGCTGCAATTGGGAGGAAATAGTGGTAGGAGGGACTTGAGCCCTGACCTAATTCTAGTAGAAAGTATGATGTGTGGGCGGGTGAAGTACTATATAGTCAGCGTTATTTTTACAGCGCCTTGTTCCAGGGGTTCTATTTGGACTGAGAGAATTGGTGCAAAAGTGCTTGTCATGCTCTAAGGCAGGGCTATTTTGGCGCAGGAACTCACAGGAACGGAGTTCCGGCTGGCTCCCAAGTTGGCCACACCCAGCAGGAACTCATTAGCATAATAGGCCACACCCAACAGCAGAAACTCATTAGGACTGGCTACATTAGGGGTGTGTGGCCTAACATGCAAAGGAGTTCCTGCTACAAAAAAAGCCCTGCGTTTTGCAACAAACAAGGTAAACAGAAGCAAAAGGTGGGTGTGGCTGGATGACCACACTTATTTTAACATGTGGGCGTGGCCTAATATGCTAATGAGTTTCTGCTGTTGGGTGTGGCCTGTTATGCTAATGAGTTCCTGCTGGGCTTTTTCTACCAAAAAAGCCCTGCTCTAAGGTAATGTGCAGACTGGCTTTCGTAAATCCCTGTTTTCAGTTTAGAAGCTAAAGCTGGTTGAGCTTTATCCACAGGAATGGTTTCTGATGTGGTCTCAAACGTGAATGCTAAACGCAGCAGAAGCATGGATCCTAAACACAGAACGCTGGAGCAGTGAGCTCTCCCTTTGTTCCCTTTCGTAGTATGGATTTGCTCTTCTTCGCCAACGAGCCCTGCAGCTAGAGGAGCTCACTCTGGGGAAAGACTCATCCGACAGTGCTCGGACTCTCAATGAACTTGGTGTTCTCTACTACCTTCAAAATAACCTTGAGTAAGTAGTGGCCCAAAGTCACAAATCTGAGCTTAGGTTTTATTATGCAGGCTCCGCTGCCTAGTGCCCCTCAGTGACCGAAAGCTGCTTTATATGAATGTAGTGAGGATCATGTTGGAAGAGAGGCCAAATATACGTGGGCTTAGTGGATAGAGTCTTCTCTTACTGTGAGGGCACTGGGCTCTGCATGGGTACACCCCCTCTTCCACAGGCAGCATTGTTCTGATTCCCTGTCCTACCTGCAGACCTGCCCTCTTGGGTTTGGTGGTCTATCTCCTACACTGAGAATTCCTTGGAGTTTTGGGGGGCAAAATTAGGAGCTGTGTCTCAGAGTGGTCGGACAACTATCTCACTTATATGCAAAACTGCTGGAATAAGGAGTTCTGAAGTTAGAGGAATTGCAGTTTCCAGAGTTGCTTGGCACCCATGTCACATCTACATATGCAAGCCTTATGTCTAAGACGGTGAGGATGGCTCATGTTGTAAGCAAAATCTTGCACATGAATCTGCCACTGCAAACGGTCGTTCTCCTTGCAGGAGAAAGCCAAGGAAGGGCAAAGCCAGTCAGATGTCTAGCTGCAGTGTGCAACCCATAAAATAATTCTGTGGTCTCTTTTTCCACTTGTCACGTCACCCACTTGTAGAGGAAAGGCCATAATGCTCTTTTGAAGGACTGTGACTAGCCTTGTCATTAGCATTAGTCATATTTCCCCCCCAAGTTGAGCATCGTGTAAACGAACCATGTAGCCTGTTAGATGTGTGGGAATCTTCCAAATTATGTGGAATGCTCAGTTATTTCCCGCCGCAGGCCTTTTCTGACTCAAAATTCATCCACAGAAGCTGCAAACATCAGCGGAAGACTGGGGTAGAGGGTGGAGCCTGGAGCCTTCTTTACCTGTAGATGTCTCTTGGCTGGTAAAAATTTCCCCAACAAGCTGCAAAATCTATCTTGGTGGAATGGGAGACCCCTGGTCTTACTTGGAAAATTGCAATCTCCATGTTGCAAAAGAACCAAAGTTGGGAGTGGGTAGGAAACCAAGCAAGTGACTTTCACACATAGTCTAACTCTGACAAAATTCTCAGCAGTATCAGTTTCTAGTTTCTCCAGAGAAAGTGAACATTTCTATCAAAACAGGTTTCTAACAGAAGAAGCATTAGATAGAACTTTTGAACCGTTGTGCCAGTATGCATAGATATATTATCAAGATGATCTTGTGCTTCTAGGACAGCAGAACTTTTCTTGAAACGCTCCCTGGAAATGCGAGAACGGGTTCTTGGGCCTGACCACCCAGACTGTGCCCAGTCTTTGAATAATCTAGCAGCCCTTTACAATGAGAAGAAGCACTATGACAAGGCAGAGGAGCTGTACGAAAAGTCACTGAACATCCGGAAGAAAGCACTGGCACCTGACCATCCCTCTTTGGCTTACACTGTGAAACACCTTGCTGTTCTCTACAAGAAGATGGTGAGAGTTGCTGTAATTCTCATGAATTTTTGTGTTCTTTGCTTTATGTCTTACCAAGGTCCCATCTTATTGCCTTGTATCCAATGAGAATAGGATTTTCCCACCTCCCCCTTCCACTTTAGCCCCCCCCCCGATGGTGAGAGTTGCTGTAATTCTCATGAAATTTTGTGTTCTTTGCTTATGTCTTACCAAGGTCCCATCTAACATATTGCCTTGTATCCAATGAGAATAGGACTTTCCCACCTCCCCCTTCCACTTTAGCCGCCCCCCCTCCAAAGTGCCACAGGGAGCACCCAGGGATAATGTCAGGGGGTCCTGTGGGAGGAATCAATGGAAATTGCCCCCCCCCCAATCATCACTCAGTGTGGTGTATTGCTGGACCGAAACTAGCTTGTGACATATGAATGATTCATATTTGCTTTGTTTCCTAGGGAAAGCTGGACAAAGCCGTTCCTTTGTACGAGTTGGCTGTTGAAATCCGGCAAAAATCTTTCGGTCCAAAGCACCCAAGTGTGGCTACTGCTTTGGTAAACTTGGCTGTTCTTTATTGCCAAATGGTAAGGTTTTCCACCCCACACTTTTTTAAAAACATGGGTTACCCATATTTGACTAGATGTATTCTAGAATATTCTACAGCTCAATGGTAGAGTAAAGCCTATCAGGAAACATGTTTCAGACCAAACCTATTGCAACTTCATCAGTGACTCAAAACAGGCAGGGCTTAGGTATGTTTCTTACCTTCAGATGGACTGGAAGCATGTGGAGGGGGTCTTATACTGTGCAGTATCAATAAGTGCTGGTAACAATGTGTAGTTTCGTTTCTGCCTGCTTTTCTCTTGCACACTTTTTAGAGACCAGCTCTAGTCCTTGCAAGCTGGAAAACTCCAGGCTTCTTTAGGGAAGGTCAGTGTCAGGAGTCCACAAATCTTGTTTCGGTTTATGAGCATGCACAGATGGGTTTAGGGAGAAGCCGGGATTTATCTCCCTTATGCTGAGGTTTGAATAAGAAACAGCAAGACTCTCTCCATGCTGTTCACGCATCAGCGATAATTAGACTGTGCGATCTCTACCACACCTTCTGCACTTGCTGGAAGGCTTGGGGTGACATTTTTTTTCTCATTTGCACTGTGATCAGAAGCAGCAGGAGTCTCTCCTGCTATTTTTTTTAATCTTGTCCATATTACAGTATAAGCAAGAGACTTGGAGCCAGGGATGTTTGCTGCTTGGCATCCTTTTCGCCAGAGGATTTGCCACGTGGATTTGTGGATGCTTGCCCATTAACAATGCCCTTACCAAGTCTTGTACTACCATGGTTGCGTGTCAAGCAGACTAATTTGCAATGCCCGAGTGTCTGATCCAAATGATTCTTTCCACACCACTAGTGAACAATCTGCTGGGAACGTCTCCCATGCTCTTATGCAATTCTTATTTCAGTGGTATTGCACATGGATTTTTGTGGATTGTGCCCAGTGGGTCAGATTTGGCCTATATTGGACTCAGCCGAGAGCCTGACTCTATTAAGGTTTTGGGAAAATGAAGAGGCAGCCTTTTGATGCTTGCCTAATCATGCCAGAAATGGGATGAAATATTTGTATCCCATGGCCTAGTCGACAATTCCGTGGGATGAGGACCACATTCAGACAAGGTCCACGTTCAGGCAGGTTTACGAGAACGCAATCCTTATCTTCTTCAGTATTAATCGTGCTTTTTGTATTTGTTCTGGCCTCTCTTGATGAGATTAAGCACATTGGTGTATGCATTTTTTTTTCAATTTGGCAGCGACGCCAGGTTTCTATACCTCATCCCATCTTCCCAAGCTGTGATTTTTATGGTCATTCAGGAGAAGCACAGGAACAGTTTATTCTCTTGTACTCAGACTTTTCACGATTTTCAACAGAATCAGAAGGTGCAAGCATGAATGAAAATTGGATATTTAGATCCTTAAGGGAGCTTTCAATGTCGACTCAAATCTAAGGGATGTTTTTACTGAGAATAATGTAAACAACAAATGTTTTATGACTATTAGTCCTATTAAGGATTTTTTCCCCTCTGATTGTTATGCCATCTGTAGAAAAAACACCTTGAGGCGTTGCCGCTTTATGAACGGGCCTTGAAGATTTATGAAGACAGCTTTGGACGTATGCACCCTCGTGTTGGAGAAACATTAAAAAATTTGGCAGTGTTGAGGTAACTTTTAACTGATGAACTTGCCATGTGCAGGTCATGGGCTGGATCTGTCAATAAATTCCCACTAACAAAAAAGCAGGTGGGGGTAATTTCCACCAGTTCTCTCCTTTCACTAGAGACCCCCAAATCTTTCCTTTTATGTTCTTCTCTGTCCCCTAAGTTTTGGCCCGCTGTGGGATGGGGAAGGCAAGAACATCCCATTCTGCTGCTGGAAAGCCCTTCCATCACTGGAAATTACCATTTAGCCCAACCCCTCATTTGAACACTGTGTGTGCTTCAGCATGCACACAGGCTGCCTCTGTTCCTTTTACATGAGGAACCAGTCAAAATAGGCATCTGCCACCTCCATTAAAGTGAGTGGGGGAAGTTTTGCAATGGGGGAAGAAGTTCTGTTCACACACGATGGAGACACTGTCTGGACCAGAGCAATGCAGAGGGAACAGAGAGGGGTGGTCCTACATTCTATTGAGGTCCATGGCAAATTTTTAAGGATTTTTAAAATATGAATTGCACCTTTAGATTTGATGACTTGGTAGGAGAATCTTCACCATACATGTTTGTTGGCTTTGGGGATATTCTAGAGCAGGTTGCAGAAATCTGGATACAAGTGGTAAATTCTGCTACAGCTCTTAAACAGTGTCCTCTTTTCAGCTGATTGCCATTCAAAAGCAAATAGCAGACAATCTAAAATAACAATCAAGGGTGATTTTTACCAACAGATCTATGCTGTGACATACGTAACAGACCATGTTTGTTTTGTAGAGTCCATTTTTTAAAAGTTAATGCAGAAAACAATGGAATAAAATGGTCTAACTAGTAGTAAAGTCTCACAAAAGGTGATTTTTTTAAAAAAAAGTACATCTAGGAAGTGTGAGAAGTGGGAATGACTTCAAAAAGGAATTTATGAAGAACAACAGATTGTTAGAAGGATCTAGTTCTCACCGAGGAGTGAGTCATATAACTGGGTGTATTGAGCCTGTAGGCAAGAGCTTAGGTGGTTGGATGTGCCTGTATAGAGAGAAGTTCCATGCACATAGAAACCAGCAACTCAGGGAGACTTTCTGGTTCTTGGGAATGGAGCTGGATTAGAGGAATTTGCAAATACTCTTATGCTCCTGAGAGTTCCTGCACCTAGCTTCATGGCAAGGGCACTTTGAGGAATAGGTGGTGCGCATTGTGGGCTGGCTCCTGTATTCTCCTGCATCCCACTGCCCCAATCACCCTACCCTTCGCACTCCCGCCTCTTGCCTCCGTGTTGGCAGCTGGCACTCCTCAGATGACCAGTTTCACCCAGCGGCAGACCCCTTTGCAGAAGGCATTCACTTATCTACAAATGAGCCCCTGGTCTTTATGTTGAGGTGCGTGTTGCCAGATACTGTGCTCACATCTCATCTTTGTTAAGCCCCCATTTCCTTTTTCTCAAAGCTACGAAGGAGGGGATTTCGAGAAAGCTGCTGAGCTTTATAAGAGAGCCATGGAGATCAAAGAAGCAGAATCGTTGCTGACAGGGGGGAAAGCCGCTTCCCGCCATTCATCGAGTGGAGACACGCTCAGTTTGAAGAGTGCTTTCTCTCCTAACGTTTTCCTGCAGCAAGGGCAAAGGTGATGCCAAGCAACATATGCAATACAGGACATGTGCGGGCCATCAAAGGCATGCACCAAAGCTACGTTAACTCAAAGGGTAGGAGGTAAATGAACTCCAGTGACTATACGTGGGTCCAGAATGCTTAACTTGTGTTTTCAGTTCAAGTGTTCTCTTCACCAGCACACCACTCCTCAATGTGTTACATGGGTTTGAAGACCTGTTGATTTTTGTAAAGACCATTAGCTAGTGCCTTCAGACTTCTGTAGTACCAGAGACATTAATTCCAGGGGTGTCGCCATTCTAGTCCCTTGCAACAAAAATAAGCAGGGGTCTAGGGGCACGTTTAGCATAAGGGGTTCCGTGGACTAGAGCCCCCTTCCTCCAGTGCACTAAGTAAATCCCCACCAGGCAGAGAGCTTTCTCTTGTTGCTTTAATGCTGAGGTGCTCTGACAGCTCCAGCATTTACCCAGTTGCTGTATTGACTCCTTCTTCCAGAAGGAATCTGAATGGCACGACCTGTTACAAGTAAATAATACTGGGTGAGCATCTTGGTGCTTGGGGGGGGTCAACAGTGGGAGGGCTTCTAATGTCCTGGCCCCACTGCTGGACCTCCTGATGGCACAGGTATTTCTGGCCACTGTGTGACACAGAGTGTTGGACTGGATGGGCCTTTGGCCTGATCCAACATTGGCGTCTCTTATGTTCTTATGTACCCAGAAGGGGGAAGTAAGGAGGGATCAGTCACCTTTGAAAGAATATTTTTCTTCGGAAAGTAGTACTCCCTGCTAGGAAAGAATTTTGAAGTAGATCAGTTAAGCTGGGAGAAAAGAAATATTTAAACTCAAGGTGAAACATTTTATTTCATATATGTTCCTGTTTTGTTATTTGAATGGATGTATATATTTATGCCTAAACTGCAGGACCTTCTGATGGGAAAGACATTAATTTCACTATTACTCTTCTTTTTACGATCGGTTACAGTTCTTCCAGTATTGGCTTAGGTCCAACTATCAGTGGAAAGCTCCTTGGTGGGTAGAAGTTTTTCCTACGCTTGTCCCCACAGTAGTCCCTTTTGACCCCTGGAAAGATCATTTGTAACCACTGGGAGAGAGGAGGATGACATTGCCCCTACAGCACCACACTCATGGAAGAAAGTGGTGGGGAGCAATTTTGCCCCTTTCTCTCCGCAACCCTCCAGCACCACCTGCATAACTTTAGGTCCAGTAGCTCCAGAAATTAGGGGGGGGGGGCGGCGGGAGTAAGGAAGAATGTGCATGAATCCACACACATTTTAATTGATGGCTGGTTGGCTGCATGTTGCTCTGAGCAGAACAGAGCAAGTGTAAGGTGCTGGCCATCATATATAAAGTACTTCAAGGCCTTGGGCCCTGCATATCTGTGGGACCCCCTCTCCTCTTGTGCTCTGCCAAGACAACTTTGCTCATCTGAACAGTCTTCTGCAGGTACCACCCTGCAAAGTTACCTGTAGACGTGCATCCTCTGTAGTGGCCCCCACCTTATCGAATGCCCCACCCACACTTACACCATTCCACAAATTTCAGAAAATAGAATTGTTTCAGGAAGGCATTTTTATAAACGTAATAGGACTATTTTATAGCAGAATGGTTCAGGAGATGTTTCAAGGAACAGAACAGGTCTATGGACTTTTCCAGAGTGCATGGTATGTCTTACCTGTTGCTAAATGCATTACTTTGATTTCAGTGCATTGTATTTCTACTTATGTAATACCATATACTACTTAATATGTCATATTTAATGCTTATGCTGTTCAGATTTCTGCAATCCCAGCCCTATTATGTTGCTTATCATGCCTAATGCTATTGGTTGCACTATTTTACACTGTGTAATCCGCCTTGAGTCTCGTGAGAAAGGTGGGCTGCATGTAATGTGATGTAAATAAAGCAAGAAGACTGAATGCTGCTGAAGAAATACTTAACAGTAGAACAGGAAAGGTAATTAGGAAATGTAGCACATGGGTGCTTTTAAACAGAAATGCTGCCTTTAGAAAACAAAACAGTCGCAATTCCGATCACATATAATCTCTGAGCAGCTAGTAGAGAGGAACTGGCTAACCAGATCTCTGTGAAGTGATGGGTCTTTCTGCTGCTGCTCCCCCCCCCCCATACCAGTTGCTTTTTACCTCAACAGCAAATAGCAGGACAAAAATACCTGACAAGTCCTTGTATGCGTTTCTGTAATGGTACTTTATTTAGAGAAATATCCAATGTGGATGGAATTAAAAACTATTTTGCATTTTACCCAGATAGGCTGCTGTTTATTTGTCACACAGACTGGAAGCCCAGGCTGAGGTCCAAAGAAGCCCTTTGCCTGCACCTGATGGAGGCGCTGCGCCTGAGGAAGCTTTCCTGGTTTTAACTTCTGGCCTGCAGCTCCTCCCGCTCTATTGTATTTTGGCTTTCAGGAGGAATTTTATGAAAGACATAACAACACACACCCCTCACCCGGGGGGGGGGGGCGGCGCTGAAAAAAGGGATGATTTGTAACCTTTGTCACAACTTTGACAACCTCTCTTCCCCTTGTGACACATTTTACAAATTGTCCCAAAACCACATTATGAAAATAGAACTGTGATAGACTACCCCCCCACAACTGCCTACTAAAAAACAAGTCCTAGAAAAAGCATTACCAGTTTCTTCTTAGTAATTAAATTAGGCTATTAAGTCTGCAGTATTAAAATAAGAAACGGTTGAGTGCTATGTCTTTAGGTGCTGCTGAAGCAGCCCAGTAGCAGGCCTCAAACTGATTACTCAGACACAAATCACTTAATATAACACTATCCCACTTAGCTTCATTTTTTACTCCTTTAATAATTTTGTTCACTTTTTCAACATGACTTTTCAAAGATGACTTTGTAAAAAAAAATGTTATCAGCAAGATGATCCCGCTTGAGAACAAAAGTAAACATTGCAATGATGTGATATGAGCTTTTGAAATGTTAACCACCTCTTCCCTCCTTGCTACAGTAGTTTTGTAAATACAATTAGCAAAAATTTTGCATTTTATAAAAGTGTTGGCCAAGGAATAGCTAATTAGCTGCCACAGAGCTCCCTGAATTAATAATTTACTTTCAAGCAGAATTTTTAAACTTATAGCATACCACTGCAAAAAGTTCCTCAAAAAAGTGCAGCACATTTACAGAATGCAGAACTTAAGTCACAATATAAATCAAGAGACTTTACTAAATGTCAGCATTCCTAAACTCTTTCTGGAAAGACTTTTTGGCTTTAGACTAATCCTGTATTGTTCCAGATGTTTTCTTACGCAATTCACCAGCAACCACTTTAGTATAGAGCTCACAACAACAGTTTTGAGCATCAATGTCACTTTACATCTATTAGCATTCAGCAGATGTCTACAGACTGGTATTAAAAAAATCCTTCTAGCCAATAAAGCTGGAGGTTTATTGGAAGTATCAAAAAAAAAAAGTCACAATACAAAACTGTTAAATATAACTTAATACCATTAATCCTAAACATGCTTCTCTGTTTTGGGTTGTTGCCAATTTAACAAGTATGTACCCTAAACATAAATCCTGGGAAAGATTGAAGGTCAAAGAAGACGGGGACGGCAAAGGATGAGATGGTTAGACAGTGTCATCGATGCAACGAACATGAAATTGAGCAAACTTCAGAGGACAGCGGAAGACAGGAGGGCCTGGCGGGATCTGGTCCATGGGGTCGCGAAGAGTCGGACTCGACTGTGCAACTGAACAACAACACCCTAAACATAACATACAAATAAATACTACTAAAGTAACAAATATTTTTTAAAATTAAAGAACCCAGAAAAAGATCCATCTGTACAGGGAGTTGCTTGTAGCATCAAGCAACTTTCTTCTTAAGGGTCTTTCTAGTTTCAGGTTTGCCTCTGCTTGGATATTACATGAGACTGGACAGCTCAGTGGTTAGGGAGTCATCAGAAACTGCTACATTCAAAGTCCAGTGGACTTTTCAGAGCCTGTCGTAATGATACTTTGCTGCATGTAAGAAGTTGAGTTTAACAGGATGGGTAAGAGTTAAATCACTTTAACCACCGCAGCTCCTATTTTAAATTGGTCTGCTGGTCATCTTGCACTATGTTTCATTGGAAATGCGGACCCTCATTTCTTGATAAAGAGGACCTACATTCCTTAATATGAGACTCCTGAATTCCTTAGAAGAGACAGCATCGTTTTTCTCATTTTTTGCACCAAACTACGGGAAGGGGGGGGGCAGGAAGGCAGGAGAGACAGCAGATGAATTGCACGTCAATGGGAAAGAAAGGAAGAAAGAAAGAAACAATGAGAAAGAGATGAGATAGGTGGAGGGAGGTATCGGCAAATAAAGGGCTTTGTTGCAAGCGCACACGGCCTAATAAAGCCAATTGGGGAGAGGGAAGATGGGGGGGGAGGCAGGAACACACAGGGGTCCATAAAATACACAGAAAAAAGTATACCCAAAACATTTGTATGGATGAGTAACAGGCAAGTATGACACTCTTAAAGTGGTGATGATGGCACTTTAAAAGTGACATTTAAGGCTACAGCACATATTGTACAATTTTGTTTTCCTAAGCAGCAGCTTAGCTGAAACAATGCTCTATAAAATTCTACCTTTCTAGATTGGTAGCATTGCCAGACAACTGTTCACCACCAGTAAACTTATCCACACTTGAACTGGTCTGAAAAGGCTGCTAGCGCCCTGTGTAATATGCCAGAATTGGTCTGCTGGTCATCTTGCACTATGTTTCATTGGAAATGCGGACCCTCATTTCTTGATAGTCCTAAGCTTTCAATCATTTTATGTCAACATAATTAATAAGTACATGATCAAATAGTAGCTTTCATGTTGTAAGAGCAAACAGGTTACAAAACTCTTCTTCAAGTGTTTGAACTATGGTATGAACTGCTAATGTTTGTGTTATATGCTCTTCATCTTAGCCATCAGTTCCTCTAGACTCTCCTCTGACTCTGTGACAGTTGCTCCATCTATAGAGTTCTGTTCCTGTTAAAAGACAGAAGAAAAAGAGGTTTAAAGACCCCACCTGGTTCTTTCCCCTGCTCCCTCCACTCCCCAGAATTCAACTTGTGAAAAGCCACTTGGACTTGATTTCTCAAAAGCTACTAAATCTCTAGGTCTATCAAATACAAATCTGGTTTTACATAAAATAAAGTTCAGCTAGGCATGTGACAAATAGCCTTTCAGTGCCTGACCTGGAAATGCAAGGGTTGAGGCTGAGGACTGGAGAAGGATGGGGGAAATGGACAGGTTTGCCCCTCCTGCCAGTTGGTGCAAGGTAGTGCTTATCCTCCCGTCATAATGGGCAGCTGGACTGATAGACACACCTGTGAAACTGAAACCTGGACTAGAAACCCTTATGTTTAAATGTGTCACTCCACATTCGCTTAGCAGTGGCTAATAAAATCTAGTTCCCAAAAGAAAAGCTAGATGGCTTTTCTACTGCCTGTTCTATTTGAAAAGAAATCCAGTTACCTTGTCTGGTATTGTGTACGCCAACGTGATTCCTTCGGGAAGGTCAGGAGCTGGACCAGAAGCAGCTTTCAGCTCTTCTTCGGAAACCTCCGAAACCAGCTCTATGCCTGTGTATTCCCCACCCCCAACAGTAAAAATAAAACTGTATGACTGCAAGGGAAATCAGTGGTACCCCTTATTATGTATTCCACCCACAGTAGGTCTCATGACAGATTTAGATATCGCTCCTTTCTCCCAAAAATAGTTTTTCGGTGCAGGAAATGCAAATTGTCTGGAATGCATCCCTACTGCATTGCCATTTTAAACTTATTACATTTAACTTTAATTTAAACATTAGCTATGTCCAGCAATGCCGGCATTGCCAAGTCGCCTTCCATGTTAGGAAGTGACAACGGGGGCAATAACAGTGATTCCCTGCTTAAACGTGCACCCTTTTGCTTTTTCTCATTCACACCCACAGACAGAACACTGTACTTAGGAACACTAAACGAGAGATAAGAGAGAGGTCATATTCTAAATAAATAATATGGTATGGTCAAGACCTTTATATTTATTGTGACAAGTCCACGTGCTCTGGTTTGCATCTTCCACAATACAACAACAAACAGAAACTACATTTGTCCCTCCCGTCCCCACCATGAAAGGTTTTTTTTACATGCTCACAGAAGGGGAAGGGATGTGGCGAAGAGGATCTATGCACTATGCACACCTCCCCCAGTTTTCATCCACCACATCCTCCTGGAGAAGTCAACAATTTTCTATCAGAGACTGCAATAGACAGACTCAAAATGAGGTCCAGATGTGCACCTTTCTCTTGATGCTGGGATCATCAGTGAAAGGCTGGGAGAGTCCCTCCCCTAATCTGTTCCCAAACTTCTGCTTCCTTAAAGGAAAGTCAACAGAGCCCTTTGCTTTTAAGAAAGTAAACAAACCCAATCACACCATTAGGCAGTTTGGGTTTGTTAAAAAGTAATTTCAGCCATCTTGACATTATGACTACATATTTAACCTTAGTACCTACCCCAGTCATTCTCTTCATGTACTATTTCTTCTTCTTCTTCTTCTACAAAGTTGTCTTCTTTTGGACTGGCTGCTACTTTTTTCTGGAAAGAAAGTTCTCTTGTAATTGTTGCAGTCACTACACTCATTAAATAACTGTCAGGCTAAGCTACGTGTTCCGCCTTATGTCAAACAAAATTACCAACTCTTCTGAAGAGCACTGATGTCTGGGATTTTTGTGGGTTTAAACCCCCCCCCCCCCCCCCCCTTTATCTTTTCAGGTGCTAAAATGGCTGCAATTTTTACCTTGTATTCTTCTTGCTGCTTTCTGCAGTTTCGGTCATCACACTGTGGGTTTGGCTTCATTGCCATGGTGGGAAAAAAATCCTGCATTGCATTGTAGCCAAGGTAAAAGCTCACGCTGCCAAAATTTAGCAAGTACCTGAGATAATGAGAGAGGGATAAGAAAGAAGAAATGCTTGTGTCAAAAATGAAGACTCATGCAATAGGACTTACGGTACTGCTCTTCATAAGCACTGCCTCTTTTACAACATCAAGGTATCACATACTCGATCACTTACTTCAGGACATTTTGTACCAGAAGGCCTGCAACCACTCCCATAGTGGTGGGAAGGCTGGCAGCACAAACTCCCTCCCGTTTTAGGGTCTTCTCATCTATGTTTGCTGCTACAACAAGGGGAGGGGCACACTGGGCAGAAAGGGGGGAGGGAGAAACATGAGAGAAAGATAAACAGGATATACATAAAAGACAATGGCAACAAAGAAGGGCCAAACTAAAACAGCCCTGGACTCCAGTGACCTTCACCCCACCCTCTCTTTAAGAGGATGACATACTACAACAGTTGACTCGAACACCACATACCGCAAAACAAGCAGATTCACCGGGTACGATCAGTTGGATATGACCGGAGACTGCATTTTCACTCACTCCAGATTCCATCCATATTTGTCCAAGCTCATTACAGGCCTTACCAAAAAGGGGAAAAAAGAAAACGCTTATACCATAATTGTGTTTCATTACAAAGTGTGAACAGATTAGGTATATTTGTCAAAAAGTGCCTGTGACAAAAAACAACAGCAAGGAAACAGATAATGCAGTCTCCTTCACTTAGCCTTGTGCCAGATTTTAGAACTAACAACCTTATCCACCACTGCAGTCAGAACGTTAAAATTTCCATTTATGAATACATGAAGCTGCCTTATACTGAATCAGAACACAGGCCCATCGTCAGTATTGTATACTCAGACTGGAAGGATCTCAGGCAGAGGTCTTTCATGTCACCTGCTTATTATTATCATTGTATGGCATTGTGTGTAGCCGAGCTAGGAGATCCTTAAGACTGTCTGGCAGCCAAAATTTCTGGCTCTTTTTTAGCATTATACACCACTAGGCGGCAAGCTAGACTTGTTTTTAAAGCAAGAGACATTTCAGAGGTGGGTTACCCTTGCCTGCCTCTGCCTCACGACCCTGGTATTCCTTGGAGGTCGCCCTTCCAAATACTAGCCAAGATCTGATGAGATTGGGCTAGCCTGGGCTATCCAGGTCAGGGCTCTGTCACCTACTTCCTGAGCATTATAACCAGTGTTCCCTCTAAACTGAGTTAGTGTGAACTAGCTCAGTTTTTTAGCCTCCAGCTCAGAGATTTTTGTCTTAACTCAGGAAGGATGGCTCCAGAGCAAACTAATTTATGCAGTAGCCAAATAGCTTGCTCACAACGTTACTGCCAGTAGCTCACAAAGTAGAATTTTGGCTCACAAGACTCCATAGTTTGGAGGGAACATTGATTATAACTGGAGATGTTGGGGACTGAACTTGGAACCTTCCTCCTTCATGCCAAGCAAATGTTCTACCACTGCACCCCTAAAAGATATTTTACCTTATCCTATCCATAAAGTGCTGAAAGTTGTCCACTGTTGTGATATTGTAGTTATGTACTTCAAACTGGACATCAGGATTGATGTTCCTTAAGGACAAAAGAAACACATTGTTATGAATACAGTGAAAACAGCGCTTGCCAGTTTCCAGGAAGTAAGCTATTTATTTATTGTATTTGTATCCCGCCCATCCCGCGAGCAGGCTCAGGGCGGATCACATCAACTTCAATAATACAGTAATGTTTAAAACACAATAAAACATTTACATTATAACATTTAAAATCAGTAGGTATAGCTGCTGGTGAAAATTCCGACCCATTCATACAGTGAATTTATGTCTGAGTACACCTGCTTAGGAATGATCCCTCAGAATGTGACCGTATACAATCTTAATTGGGAGTAAGCCCCACTGAATTCACTAGAACTAACTTCTAAGTAAACAACACACATAACATTGGGCTGCATGACATGTACAAGACACGTTCTCCAGAAAAATTACTTCTAAGCCACTTGAAAAATCTATAAATTTGAGTGTTCCTCTTGCATTGCATGCAGATGCCCAGATCCTTCATCACGTACCTCAAGGTGTGCTCTGCCGCTTGTACTTTACTTAGCCCAGCTTGATGTGGTTGGAAAAAGAGCCTGTTCATATTTGCCAGCTCGACCTTATCATAATCAAACAGGAGTAGCTAAAAGAAAGATTACAATGATACATGAGTGGCCTCCAGTCAGGCCCTACTAGGACAAACACTTGACTGAGCTCTGTGGTTCTGCACGATTTTTTACACAAACTGACCTGCACATGGTTTAACTGTTTCTAGTGCCATCACAATGACGCTCTACCCATTTAGACAAACAAGATGATCTAATTCACAGCTGTAGGGTAGATCCAGCCCAAGGAACCTTTCCTATCTAGGTCTCCTGTTCTTTTCCAGATTTTAACAAGTTTCACACCAGTAACAAAGTCTACACAGTTCCACAGTCCACCATGCAGTGTTTCAGTATGAACAACTCACAGGTGCTACAGACAAAAGCCACCCTTAAGCAATAAATATCTGTCAAACAACTATATAGGAACATTTCCTTTAAGAAAATATCATGGGTTGGATCCAGCCAGCTTTTTTGCTCTGTGCCACTCATTATAAACCGTTTCATTGTAAGCCGCCCTGAGCCCGCTTGCGGGGAGGGCGGGGTAGAAATATTTAAATAAATAAATAAACCCACAAGGCTTTTGTCCATTCAAGTCCTGTGATACCCAATATAGCCATTTTGGTGGTCAAAGGGGACCCCCATCCTTTTTTCACAGTGGAAAAAAGCTGGTTGGATCCAAGCCCATTTTGGGATGAGAAATGTACATATTACTAAAATACTTGAAATCTTATTTATAGTATTAGGAAATGAGAACTGTCATGAATCTTCACATGTGAAAAGACAAGTTCCCCTTTGTTGCCAAATGTCCCTGCAACCAACATGGCAATATGAGTGAATCTGTGTGGAATAATGCTAAGAGTATTAGATCTGGAGGTAGGAAATCCAGATTCAACTCCATTGAGCCATAAAGCTTTGGATTTGAGTAAGGCAACCCCTATAATCCTAACCTACTGCATAGGGTTGTTGTGAGGGATAAATAAAGTAACTCTACATTCTTGGAAGAAGGGCAGAATACAAATGTGATACGTATAAATGAAATGGGGAGGGCAGGGAGGGCGGGATAAAAGTTAAATAAATAAACACTTGGAAAACAAACACTGAAGAATATCAGCCAACCATAGCTCCCAGACATTTTCATACATCTGCCTGCCATTCACACGTTATGGTAGTCACCCAGGACGTGCTCAGCAGACAAATGGAAACCCAATCTTTCCCAAAAGTTCATCTCAGCACTTAAAACTTATGCAAGACTACTGTTATAATAAAGAAATGTGTATTACCTTACCGATACCACATCTTGTCAGCATTTCAGCGGTCACGCTGCCAACTCCACCCACACCTACTACTGCTACTGCAAAAGTACGGATTTTCTGCAACAATAAACCAATGCCCATAATCAGTAACTTTTTTTGTTCCCTCCAATTAAATAATTAAGGCAATCTGCAAAAATCACTAACCCACCTCATAATCTTTCACAATTCCCATTCTTTTCAGTGCCATGAGGCGACTACAGGGAGAGAAAAGACAGATGCATTTTGTCAAGGAAGGAAAGCATCAGTTTATTCACACGATAGTTATTTCAAAACCAATATGACAATTCCACTGGTTGTAATCAAAATTCTTCAGTGAACTATCTATTCAATATAACTATTTATTGTTGGCGGTAGAGACACTATGTGCCCACTTCTCGCAAGAGGCCTTCCAGTGGTTGGGCCCCTGCTCCTCTAAGCAGCAGGGGGAAAAGCCTTGGCCAGAAATTATATCCAGCAACACATCCATCAACGGGTTTTTTCAGAGACAGCCAGGGGACTACTTTATACTCTTATGTCACATGCAGGTTTTCTAGTGGATGTAACATCACAAGTTGCTGGATGTCACTTCTGGCCCACGTCCTGGCCAGAAAACTCCCAGGGACGCCAGCTGGTGGCCTGGCATCCCTAGTTGTTGGCTTTGGCAGAGTTTGCAGTTCACCCATAGAGACAGCCTTGAAATCAGTACACAATCCAAGAATTCCTTAGCTGGCACAAGAAACTGAGGAAGACAAGAATGCCTTTATTAAAGGCTCTCAGAAGACTGAAGAAACAACGATCAGAACTGGATCCCAAAGCAACTGATATTCAATTCTACAGTGGAACTGGCCGGTCCATTTCTTGACCTGCTCCTCTGGGACTGTTACCCTATCCATTAACAACTCCTCACAGTAGATTCAACTCCATTGAGCCATAAAGCTTTGGATTTGAGTAAGGCAACCCCTATAATCCTAACCTACTGCATAGGGTTGTTGTGAGGGATAAGTAAAGTAAAGGGCAGAATACAAATGTGATATGTATAAATGAAATGGGGAGGGCAGGGAGGGCGGGATAAAAGTTAAATAAATAAACACTTGGAAAACAAACACTGAAGAATATCAGCCAACCATAGCTCCCAGACATTTTCATACATCTGCCTGCCATTCACACATGGTAGTCACCCAGGTCATGCTCAGCAGACAAATGGAAACCCAATCTTTCCCAAAAGTTCATCTTAAAACTTATGCAGGACTACTGTTATATTAAAGAAATGTGTATTACCTTACCGATGCCACATCTTGTCAGCATTTCAGCGGTCACGCTGCCAACTCCACCCACACCTACTACTGCTACTGCAAAAGTACGGATTTTCTGCAACAATAAGCCAATGCCCATAATCAGTAACTTTTTTTTTGTTCCCTCCAGTTAAATAATTAAGGCAATCTTCTGCAAGAAACACTAACCCACCTCATAATCTTTCACAATTCCCATTCTTTTCAGTGCCATGAGGCGACTACAGGGAGAGAAAAGACAGATGCATTTTGTCAAGGAAGGAAAGCATCAGTTTATTCACACGATAGTTATTTCAAAACCAATATGACAATTCCACTGGTTGTAATCAAAATTCTTCAGTGAACTATCTATTCAATATAACTATTTATTGTTGGCGGTAGAGACACTATGTGCCCACTTCTCGCAAGAGGCCTTCCAGTGGTTGGGCCCCTGCTCCTCTAAGCAGCAGGGGGAAAAGCCTTGGCCAGAAATTATATCCAGCAACACATCCATCAACGGGTTTTTTCAGAGACAGCCAGGGGACTACTTTATACTCTTATGTCACATGCAGGTTTTCTAGTGGATGTAACATCACAAGTTGCTGGATGTCACTTCTGGCCCACGTCCTGGCCAGAAAACTCCCAGGGACGCCAGCTGGTGGCCTGGCATCCCTAGTTGTTGGCTTTGGCAGAGTTTGCAGTTCACCCATAGAGACAGCCTTGAAATCAGTACACAATCCAAGAATTCCTTAGCTGGCACAAGAAGCTGAGGAAGACAAGAATGCCTCTCAGAAGACTGAAGAAACAATGATCAGAACTGGATCCCAAAGCAACTGATGTTCAATTCTACAGTGGAACTGGCCGGTCCATTTCTTGACCTGCTCCTCTGGGACTGTTACCCTATCCATTAACAGCTCCCCACAGTGATCACGGCACATGATGCAGTAACAAAAATATGGCAGTTGAGATTGGAGCACCAGCATCTCCCACAAACAGTTATTAGTGAGGTATGATGACAATGGATGGAGAAAGAGCACACCATCAGTACGGAAGTTTGAAGGACCTGAAGCTAGGCTAACATAACTGTATTCTGAGAAACAGGATTTGGCATATAACCTGTATGTGTGAAAGATAAAATCAATTATGATCCAGCGAACAAATGTGTTCCCAAGAGCCAGTACCAAATAGCATCATTACACTATCATTTTCCACTTACATGGGCCATCATAAATCATAATCCATTTTGCACCTGAGACTCACCTGGCACCACCATTTGGTGCCATGCCAAATAATTCCTCCCCCACCCAATTAATGGATTTCATCTTTTAATGGGCCCCTTCGAGCCGGAGAACTATTATGGATAGCAGTTCAGGCCCTGGCCTGTTTTGTTTCTGGGTTTGTTTTTTACTTTTTACTATTAATAATTTTCATATTTTTATTGTATTCTTTTAACTTTCTGAAATGCTTCCGGCAAGTTTCTCAAGTTACAAGGCAGCCTATAAACTCAATCCACTACGATTTTTTAAAAGGAGGATTTTACAGAACAGAAGAATGGGTGGTGGTGGGAAGAGACATGATCTTCTCTCATCCAAAAACCTTGCTGAACACGTTAGTTCAGTTGCATCACCCACCACCACTTCTACACCCGAAATAATGGGCGACAAGCAAAAATCACCCACATAACACGCTTCTTCATTCATAGCGGTCTGCCTAGGACACCCCCCCACGGCACTCCCCTCCTCCTTAAACACGGCATTGAGGGGATCCAGCTCACCTGTACGGATTGGAGTCTGTCACCTCCGGGCTCATCCTCTCGATCCGCGCCCTCTGGGTTTGCCCACCACCGCTGCCTCCCGTCTCACGGGCCAGCTTTTCCTCCAGCTCTCGAATGCGTCTCTGCAGCTGTTCCACGACGCCGGCCATGTCAGCCATGGCCGGCTCCCAAAATTACCAGCAATCCCAGCAGCTGAAAGGTCCAAGGACTCACCGACACCCAGCAGCCGCTCAACCCGTCCCCGCCGCCAGAGACACGTCTCAACTGCGAGCACTTCCTGGAGTTGCAGCAAAAACGATCCCCTGCTGTACTCATACACCAGCGACCAAAGTTCCGGGCGCAAATAGATCCGGGGAGCAAGGATGGTGGTTCAGTGCTCCAGCTAGTGCCTAGGCGTTGCGAAGTCATCAACGCTTCCTCCCCCAATAAACCCATTAAGCCTGAAAGTACTACAAGATTATTTTATGTGGCTGTGATGTAACATCAGCACAACCATATGCAGGGGGTTTTGTTTGTTTTTTTAGTCTAAACCCATTGAAATCAATGGGTTTAAACGTGGGAAACGGCAGACTGGATTGCAGAACAAACATCCGGGCGCACACAGTAGTATTTGAGGGATGTACTAAAAGGAAGGACAGGATTGCCCATTGGAAACAATGGGAGACGCAACAAACACACGTCTTAAGTGTATTCTCGAAACCAGTTTAACAACTCTTGGGAGTTATGAAGAGGTGCATTATCTTTGACAGCAGTTTCTTATAAACTAACTTTCCAGATCCTCCCCCCTCCAGCGGTGTAACTGGTTAAGGTGGACATCACACCCTCGGACATCAGGCAAGAGGTGGAATTTGCCCCTACGAGTCCAAGGCCACCACCCTGGGACTCAGGGAGGCAGCTCCCCCTCCCCGCCCCCATCGCAGCTGCCGTAACTTTTTAAAGAGCCCCGAAGGAGAGCTGAGGGAGCCAGAATGATCTCTGGCGTGTGACCCGGACCTGGCAACCCTATTCGCCCTAGTTCAAGTCCACAAAAGTGAGTTAATGTCTGAGTATTTTGAAAAATCTTGTTTTAAGGGGTCACCCTATCAGTCAGTTAACAAAAGGGAGCGCTTGTGCTGGAATACGTTTAGTGAGTCTTTAAAGGGTCTCGACTCACGAGACTCCTACATATTGGGTGGGGGGTATCAACATTTATAGAGTGCTTGGTGGTGGATACATTTAGCGAACGGAACGATCACAGGCTCTGACTCCCACCAGCTTCAAGCCATAGAGAATTTAGGAAACAAGAAGCTGCCAAGTACCTGTCGCTGAGGAAGCAGGAGGCGCCCTGGGCTGAGTTCCAAACGGCCTATGCGATTTGCATAAGAAACCCTTCTTTGCGCTCTCCCAGCGAGGAGTAGGCGGCGAACAGGTTACGCTGTTAGCGGAGCTTGGCAAACAGTTGCTGGAGCTACGCTCTGGGCAGAGGGGCCGAACCTCTTTGCTTCTGCCTTCCCTCGGCAGCGCCTTTGGCTGCCTGGCGCCGATAGACCGTATTTGGCGACGGAGGGCTGGAAATGGCAGCGGAGCCGGACACCACCGAAGTGAGAGAGCGGCACAGATTTGACCCAGGCGCCTTGGAGGAGTACCTGCGCCGGCACTTGCCAGGCTTTCCTTTGCAGCCACCTGGAGCTCTGCTCGTCAGGCAGTACAGGTAACGGCGCCCCATGACATACTACAGACGCGCAGCCATAAACGGGCTGAAGCGGGCAAAAGTCTGTGCTGGGAGCGCAGACGTTTCTTGCAACGTTTTGCCATTCTTTCCCCTTCCTGCTGCGTCCCCCCTTCCACAGCTTTTTGCAGCGTTGTAGAGGTTCAGACAACGGTTGTTGTCTCAAACTCAAACTCAAAAGCATTTGGGAGAGAAAGAGTGCAAAAGTGCATACAGTCTCGTTCTGGTCCTGGCTGTCCGTCTGCCACGGATTTTTGTCCCAAGTTTGTTTGCTGAGAAACAAATATTGAACCTGACAAAGCGGGCTTTGACTCAGGAAAGCTTACACCGTGGGAAATGTTGATCCTTGAGGTGCTACAGGACTCGAATATTGTACCGTGTTATATGTTAGGGGATGGTTTATTTTTTTTTGTGAGGGATATAATATTCTCACAAGTCTTTGGCTGCTGTTAGCCCAGTTTTAAGGTTTTTGGATTGGCTCCTAATCTGTTTATGTGCTAAATCCATGGTGGTGTTGTTGCTTTATTTTTCAAAGACACCTGACCCAGGGGCTCAGATGGTTCTGCCTTCGTCTGTTTTATCCTTGCAACAACCTGTCAAGCCAGGTTACCTTGAAAGAGAATGACTGGCCCAAGGTGATCTCTACTACTGAGTGGGTATAGGAACTTGGGTCTTCTTGGTTGTAATCCAGCACTCGAACTACTTACACCTTTTGTGCCTTTGCTAGACTGGTTCACATAGAACATCCATGGGTATGTCTATGTGAGTGGGAGTTGGCTCTCACTCACACATGCAGGTCTGAACAGATGTACACATGCATAAGTTATATGTGCATACTCTGTTCAAGCTCTTTCCTTTTTGGATTACTTGGTGAATTAGCATCTGCCCAGATGCTTGGACCCCCTGCTCTGGACCTGGATCCCCTAACTGGACCTGCTATAGGCCCTGCTTTACCCTCTCACTCCACTGCTTGGACCTCTCCCCTCCCCTCTTGAATGGAGAATGTTGCACCGTGCATTGGTTCTTGGAAGATTTGGCTAGCTCCTTGTAGCTGTCTTGTTAGTATTGGGTATTAATGAATGCTTGTTATTGTTTGTCAGAGAGAGAGAGAGAGAGAGGGATCCCAACCATGTTTTCCACTGGTAGAAAACTTTCTGCCAGCAGAAAAGGAGCGGTAGGGATTTGTACCAGTTCCATCCTCCCACGGCAGCCCTTACCCTCATGCTGTTCCTGTGGGTCTGCTGACCCTGGGGGCCCAATTTCATGGAGCACAGCCGGCTGTGCTGCAGGGAGTTTGCTTCCATGAGCACTGCTGCACTAACAGGATCCATCCTATAGAAACTAGAAAAAGTTGATGTCTAGGGTTTCTAACTTCGACTTTGGAAATTCCTGGAGATGTGGGAGTGGTGCCTCTGGAGGACAGGGGTGTGGGGTGGGGAGGGACCTCAGGAGGGTATAATGCCAGAGAGTCTACCTTCTAAAGCTGCCATTTTCTCTAGAAAAACTGATTTCTGTAGCCAGGAGATCAGTTGTAATTCTGGGAGCTCTCCAGGCCCTTCCTGGAGATTGGCAACCCTATTGACATCTGTGTGCCCACCAGTTTTTTCATAATCAGTCCAGGAGCAAATTGCAAGTAGATAAATAGGTACCACTTTGGTGGGAAGGAAACAACGTTCCGTGCACCTTGGTGTTTAGTCATGCCGGCCGGCCACATGACCACGGAAACGTCTTCAGACAGCGCTAGCTCTTCGGCTTTGAAACGGAGATGAGCACCGCAACCCTAGAGTCGGACTCGACTGGCTTTCAAGCAAAGGAACCTTTACCTTTTACCAGGAGCTTTGAACTGGGTCCAGCCCAGTTTCTTGTGGTAGTACTGTGTGTTCATACCCAGATTACACAACACTCAAGCTAATCCTGCTGCCATAAAGCCTCAGTCTTTGGTGTGCAGAGCAAGGAGAAGGAGGAAGATAATGTCCATTGATAGTTGATACGGGTTACATCACATGGAAGCTGCTCATAGATTCTCGTGCACGGAAGTGGCAGCTCCACAGAGGGACATAATCCCAGAGCTCCTGTCTTTGTTTAGGAAACCATGTGGTTCGCTTCTGAAAGCACCACTTTATATAGCATTTTCTGGTGGCTTGAAGAGAGCTATGAGAGAGCAGGTTGATAAAAGTATGTTTTGGCTTTTGCTTTTCATCATGTACACCTAGTGAAGAACCTCGTTGTGATCTAAATGTTTGCACCTTTTCTTCTGAAAGCAGCATTGGTCCAGTGAAGAACAACGTCTTTACTGATTTTCTGACAATTTGTTGATATTTAAGTGCATGCGTAAACTGTTCAACGGGGCTCTCTCACTGAAAATGCTCATTGTCGATAATATTTATCTTCGCCTAGCTCTGGGCAGTCCAACCCAACCTTTTACCTGAAGAAAGGCCTTAGCACCTATGTCCTTAGGAAAAAGCCTCATGGCCCTCTCCTACCACAAGCTCACAAGGTATGGCAAAGCTAGCTGTTATTACAATTTTTCCATAATGAAATATGACTTCTGATTTGGGTTTCCTTTGGAAATATGACTTGAGCTCAGCATTGGCATGCCTCGTTTTGACAGGAGTTAAAGATGGAGATTGATTCCTCATGTCTTGGTTGCACTTCATGAGAGACTTATTCCATGGAGAGCACACTCTTATATCCTGTGTCCTAGTGGATCTCCCTAAACAGAGATAAAAACCATAGGGTACTATTTACAAAGTACACTTACAGTGCAGTCCTAAGCAGAGTTACACCCAAGTCCATCAAAGTCAGTGGGCTTAGAAGTAGGGCTGCCAAGTCCCCCCTGGCGCCGCCGGATCAGGCCCTGGGGGGAACCCCACTCCCAAAGCACATCACACGGAAGTGACGTAAGCACATCCGGGACGTTGGGGGCGGGGCCACAATCATCTGAGGGGAAACTCTATGGTTTTCCCTCGGATTATTTTGGCCCCGCCCCCAACGTCCCGGACGTGCTTACGTCACTTCCTTGTGATGTGCTTGCGGCGCACGCGCGTGAAGATTCCTGGAGCAAGCCGGGACTCCCCCGCTCCAGGAGAGGTGAGTACTTGGCAACCCTACTTAGAAGAGTGTACCTCTGTTTAGGATTACACTGTTAGGAAACCACTTCCCTGAATTTATGAAGGCACCCACTCTCTTGTCATTTGGAAGAAGAAGAGTTGGATTGATACCCTGCCCTTCACTCAGTGTGGCTTACAATCTCCTTCCCCACAACAGACACCCTGTGAGGTAGGTGGAGGTGAGAGAGCTCTGAAAAAACTGCTCTTGAGAGAACAGCTCTGAGAGAACTGTGACTGACCCAAGGTTAACCAGGGTTCATGTGGAGGAGTGGGGAATCAAACCCAGTTCTCCAGATTAGAGTCAGCCACTCTTAACCACCACCAAATTGTGCAAAGTGTACACAGACAAAAGGGCTTTTGAACGTAGTAACTGGCTTGGCTTTTATTCAGGTTCTATGTTTTTTACTGACTTGACTGGATGTGTGGATGTTTTTATTGATTGTGATTATTTTTGTAAATTGTTTTTGGCCATATAGAGGGAGAAAAATGGTTAAGCATATTTTAAAGGAAGATTGCTGAACTCTCTAAGGACTTAAGAACCTAGTAAGACTGTTGATTTCAATGTTACATTAAGCACATGTTTACCTTGTTGTATACCCTATTGTGTCCTTTTCAGATTGACAGAGAATATCGGGTCCAGAAAGCTTTGTTTGCAGCTGGATTTCCAGTTCCTGAGCCCCTTTTATACTGCAGTGATGTTTCTGTGATTGGAACAGAATTCTATGTGATGCAACATGTACAGGTTTGTACTTCTGTTGCAGTATACTCACTGCATACTGTCCTGAGGTCTGACTGGCAAAAGGTCAGGTTTCAAAGATCCCTGCAACCAGTTTCATCTGCTTGGGGCAGTGGTGTTCAGACTTGTGCTTCCCAAACCACAGTCACCCTCTTCTGCATGAGAAGATACTTCACCGCCTCAAGGAGTTTGTGCCCCCACCCACCTCCCATCAAAAATGCCACTGAGCACGTCCTTGGGTTTGCATAAAGTATCTCTTTTGGACCTAGATTTGATTGAATTCTTGAGAATAAGTGCAGTAGAAGTATTCTTAAATGCATGCCACGCCCAGTTTTATAATGTATAGGTACTGAAATACAGCAATGTCTGATTTTGTCCTTGTTATGTACAAAGACCAGGTGTAATTCCCATTGTTAAGGTTCAGCCTACTAGGTGTTTCCACTTGAAAGAAGGGGGAGGATCTGTAATTACTGGGTTGAACTATGACCAGAAGGCAAACAGCCACCGGTGCTGATCTGCACACACTTCACTTTACTCACCCAACATTACAGCATGAGATGTGAAGCAACCTTCCCTTGTGTGGGCGGAAGATTCTGTTCAGTGTGGGAGAAGCAGCGCACGAATGTCTCTGAGCATTGACACCAAAATCTCTGATCTTGTGATTGACGTATACAGTATTAAATGCACCTTAAGAACTGCAATTTCTTTCCCCTTTCTCCTCTCCCATCAATATTTGTCTTTAGGGCCGCATTTTCCGAAACCTTGCTTTACCTGAAGTAAGCCCAGCGGAAAGATCAGCATTGTACATAGCTGCAACACAAACTCTGGCCCAGTTGCATTCCTTCAGCATAAATTCACTGGGGCTCCAAGGCTATGGAAGAGGACCAGGTTACTGTAAGAGGCAGGTAAAGATCTCCCAAATTGATCGATCAGGCTTATCTTATGGCAGGTTTTTGGCACTGGTAAATATCAATCTATCTCCCTCCTTCAATTTTCTCAAGGTTGCATGCACAGGATTCTCTCCCTCCCTCAAAACAACCCTCTGAGGTAGGTAAAACTAAGGTAGGGTGTGTCACCCAGTGAATTTATGGATAGGTAGAGAGCTGAACCTTGGACTCTCCCACTGAAGTCAAGATTCTAGGGATTACGTTACACTGCCTTTAAGTGTTCTGCTTGCAAATGTTTACTATGCCATATACTCTACAATTTTTTTAAGAGGGATAAATATCATCCCCCCCGCCCCCCGTTTTGCCTGTGAACAAGAAAGCTGGCACTCTGAAGCTGGCACCAGAACTTAAATGAGAAGAAAAGGCAAAATATTTTCTGAGAAAATGAGTTTGTTAAACTTCCCTTTGCCCAGTACAAGGCGGCCGACTTCAGACTTGTTTTTCTCAAGAGTCCCTTTGCTCGCAATTACAAACTGTGTCGAAAAATGCACTTGGTATATGATGTGCTAACAGGAGACAGCAATTTGAAAGGAAGAAGTTGGAAATCCCACTGGGCTAGCAATGGCTCCTCATCTGAGCCTGAGCTCAGCTTTCCATGCCATTGGCAGTATTTCATCTTAACTGTGTATTGTACGATCTCAACCAGGTATGTTCCCCCCCCTGCTAAGTAATTTGTGGGGGCTTGTTTTCAGGTATCGACTTGGAGAAAACAGTACAAAGCAGCTGCTCATATGGACATTCCAGCTATGAATGATTTAGCTGAATGGTTAATGAACAACCTGCCAGCTGGGGATGACGAAGAACATTTGATTCATGGGGACTTTAGAATAGACAATATCATCTTTCATCCAACAGAGGTATTTCGCACATAGTTTAACATGTGGTTTAGCATGTTTGTAAAGAGTTTTGATATCAAAAGTAGCTCCTTTCTGAGTGCTTCAAAAAGGCTGTTCCCCCCCCCCCCAAGGAAAATGTTCTAAACTTTCATGTCTCGTTTTTGGATTTCATATACAAAGCAAGACATAGGATATGGTAATTAATTTGTGATCACCACCAGTTCTGGATGTTGCTGGGTTTTGACCCCTTTGAAATTGGCGGTGTCATGGTGGGGGGCTTAGTTATACATCTAGCCTTTGAGCACAGAGTCAAAGAAAGATCAGGGCTCAGTCCTAGAGCATTTTCTTGTCATACAGAAGGTCCCAAGTTCAGTCCCCAGCATCTCCAGTCTGGCCCTAGCTATGGTGGGATTATTCGGGGGTCCGCCCCCTTCCTTAAAGGGCCCTCCGCTTCTTAAAGGTTCCCCTGCTTCTTCTCAAAAGCATTTAAAGGCATCCTTTAAATGTTTTTGAGAAGAAGTGTGTGTGTGTGTGTGTGAGACGTGCGCCCCTCTCCCTCCCCTCCCGCAAGATTTAAAGGGCCTTTAAGCTGATCGGCAGGGATCATGTGGCCCACTGATCAGCTGGAGAGCCCTTTAAATCTTGCAGGAGGGGAGGGAGAGGGGTGTGGGCCACCCCCCATTCATAAATTGTCCCACAAGCTGCAAAATCCTGGCAATGGGCCTGTCTCCAGTTAAAAGGACCAGGCAGGAGGTGATGTGAAAGATCTCTGCCTGAAACCCTAGAGAGCTGCTGCCAGTCAGAAGACAGTACTGATCTTGGTGGACCAAGGGTCTGACTCAGTATAAGGAAGATTCGTGTATTCAAAAATTTCCTTATTGTCATCCACACATCCAAACCACGATTCCTCTTGGCCCCTCAACTTTTTTTTTGTAATAAGGGATAGTGATTATTTTAAAGGGAGCCTTTGGAGCTCTTTTCCTGTACTTCTGTGCCACCTAGTTTGTGGAGTTAAACTTCTCTTACACAAATAACAAATTGTGCAATGCCTGCAGAATAAAGGTCAAGATTGTGCATAATTAATCATACACCAGTAAAGCAGTATCTGATCTGAGCTCTGCTATAAAATCTTCACTGAATCACAAAAGTAAAGGGTGAATTTCGTTCTGCAAAATGGAAAGGTATTAATTGGTTGTAGTAGATCACGCCATGGGGCACAATCTCTCTGTTAAGCAAGGGTGTATCTGTTTCCCTGCATAAATGCTCTTCATTTTAGTGGGTCTAGCACACAGCAGTCTTCCAGTGGCTTGTGTCTGTGTTGCATAATTTTACAGGTCCCCTCCCTCTCCTTACATTGCAAATTGACAATGTAATGCTCCAGTACAGTGCAGTACATTGCAAATCAATTGATTTGAGTGAGTGAGAGAGAGAGAGCGCGAGTCCAGTAAAAAATTTTTTAAATAGTGGATACTGAAATCTTCCCTTTGACACTGGCTATAGTGTAGACACTGTCAATCAAGTGCCCCCCCCCAAATAAAATAAAATGGGATTAAAGTAGTGTAAAGTAGTATCTTTCAAACTGTTGTTTTAGTAGTACCTAAAATAGTGTTTCGGATGGAAACCAGACTGTCCTATAATATTGCCACTTTGTTTTTTCAACAATTTCAAGTTCTCTTTCACCAAGTTGATGCCCCACTCACGTCAGTGACTCATCAAAGGTGGATTTCTGTTCTGCTGGTTTATAGCTCTAGCGCATGTTGAAACACCCATTACAACTAGAGCCAAAATGTGCTGAGGCTGCACTCAATGAGGCTGCCATATGATAACTGCACCTGCCATGAAAAACAGAAAAAGATTGTGTGTGTATGTCCTTTGTGTTCCAAAGGATAAAAACACCCATGCCTTTGAATGCTATAAGCTCTGTTCCTGGCCAAAGTAGTATGACCACAGCTAAGTTTTACGGAGAGATGAAATTTCAGGCCCCAGGCTATAAACTGTTGTTTTGGAGGATGAACATTGGCAAGACCATGTACAGAGAGGCATATTGTTGTTTCCCAAGACATTTATTCTGTATTCAGATGAATTTGCAACAGGCCTTGAAATACAAAGCTTTTCATGAGAATATTATTCAGAGTGTATTTACAAAAAAGTTTGTTTAATCCAGATCTCCAGGAGTCTCTTGTAACCATGTTCCATCTCGCTTCTGATGATGGGTTTATCCAGCTTGGGCTAGTGGTGATGGGTCATAGCAGGAAAAAATGGTCAAGTGGTAGAGTCCCATACCTGTTGCAGAGTGTAGGGTGTAAAGAGAAATGACCAACTGGGAGATGCACGTGGAGTTGGTAGGATTAGGGTTAGAAAAGCCTTGCCCCTGTCGTTTGGCCCTGCAGAAGTTGTAAGTCAAAGCTCTTCCCATGTAGAACCACCCAGTGGGCAAACTCTCATGCAGATTCCCCCAGCAAGAATATTCCAAAGAGACGTTATCTCATTTGATCGTGGGGAAACCAGGGAACTAGCTAGCAATAGGCAAGAGTTGTCAGGAAGGAATCAGAATGAACATCCCCTCTGTCTGGCCCAGTGGTACTATTAGGGCTGAGTAGGGTTGCCAGCTCTGGGCTTGGAAATTCCTGTAGATTTGGGGGGTGGAGCCTGTGGAGAGTGTGGTTTGAGGAAAGGAGGGACCTTAGTGAGGTACAATGTCATAGAATCTACCTTCCAAAGCAGCCGTTTTTTCCAGATGTTCTGATTCCTGTAGCCTGGAATTTCTGGAAACCAGCTGTGATTCTGGGAGATCTCCAGCCACCACCTGGACCCTAGAACTTGAGACAGTCTGTCCATAAAATGGGGAAGGAGACCATGTTTGTATTTTTGAGGAATGTGATAGATGGTAATGTGTACTGTGAAGTACTAAAGGTTGGCGTATACTCTGCTGTGCTCATTACATGGAGATGGATTCCCCCTGCCTTCCGCCACAGTCTAGGAAAGCTCCACTCAGGGCCAGCAGAGATACACATGGAATGGAAGTCATCATCACATGCTTTGTATAGACATTGACCTTTCTCACCATCATGAACTGACACCGGTGGAGGTCGCTGGGAGGTATTGATCTGCAGTTTTTCGTTGTTGGCATTTCTTTAAAATACTTCTTTATTTCTCCATTTCAAGGCCCGTGTCATGGCAGTGCTGGACTGGGAACTTTCAACCACAGGGCATCCAGTGGCAGACTTTGCTTATTCTGTTGCTTTCTATTTTTGGCCAAAAGACTTCAAACATTTGAATATAAAAAACTTCCAGAATTTAGGTCACATTGCAGGTATGCATCCATCTGTAAAAACAAAATGTGCTTTTTCCCACCAAAATGTGGTGGTGGTTTACACATCTTATCAGTTTCGTAAGCAGATTATTGAGAGATAAGTTATGCTGTAACATGCTAAGTACTTGTGCAACTTCAGCACATTTGGTCTAGGCTTACTCTTAAGAATTTACCCAGCAGATATGCTTAGCTGATTGCTAGAATCACTGAATTAATTTTGTTCCAGGAAATCATAGCTTTAGATGTGATTGTAAAATGATAGAGCATGATTTTTTCTAATATTAAAGAAGTGGGTAGAAACCGGATCAAAATGGAAGGTGCCTGAATTATCAGGAGAGGAGCTGTTGGTTCCCACTGTTGTAAAGACAAACAAAATTGCTGCAGATGTGCATACAATTAGAAAATAGTTGGCAATAATATAGAACAACAATAGAATTCTAAGATGTTTTAATTCTTGTTTTCAGCAAAGAGCGCCATCGAGATGACGCCGAGATGAGCAGAAACGCAGATTACGAACTTCTCGAGTTCTTACAAACTTCTCGAGTTCTAGCGTTCGTTTCGATACAGTTCTCCAGAAACATTTCCAACAGCTTTGGACTAACAATTTTTAACTTCCATTGGACAGTCTGTTTCTGGATTTAGGAATTCCTTCTTGTGAAGTATTCATATGAAGAGCATTAAAGAACTGAAATTCTGAGATTTGTTTGATAAAGAACTGTATCGAAACAAACGCTAGAACTCGAGAAGTTCGTAAGAACTCGAGAAGTTCATAATCTGCGTTTCTGCTCATCTCGACGTCATCTCGATGGCGCTCTTTGCTGAAAACAAGAATTAAAACATCTCAGAATTCTATTGTTGTTCTATATTATTGCCAACTATTTTCTAATTGTATGCACATCTGCAGCAATTTTGTTTGTCTTTGTGATTATCCATTGCTGTACCCCTTGTGTTACTTTACCTCGGTTCTCACTGTTGTGGCATATGTTTAATTATAACCTGAACAACCCCAATGACATTATCTAGTCATTATCCTAGTAGGTGAGGAAAGAGGTCCACCTGCTTTTCACTCCATCAGTGTTTTACATCTTTAAAGGAAAGTGTAACTGGTACAAATGAATTGTGAAACTGTAGCATATCAAACTCAAGTTTCTAATTATTCCTTTTCAATTTCCTAGGAATTCCTTCACTTGAAGAAATGATCTCTGTTTATACTAGATGCAGGGGTACCACCACTTCTCTACCCAACTTGAATTTTTTTCTCGCCCTTTCAATGTTTAAAATTGCTTCAATATGCCAGGTAATCGGGGTAGTGACAAATTTACTAATGCAAGCTGGAGAGGCAGGCATGAGAATCATGGGGGGAGGGGAAGAGCTGAGAATCCCCCCCACACACACTTGAGATCATAGTTTTGGCCATGTGACCTCCCCCCCCACCTGACTTGCTTTCCTTGCAGCCATGTGGCTGCTGCAAGAACCTTACTTCCCAAAGTGTCACAGGGCTTGATTAGGATCTGAATTGCAGGGCTAGGGGAGGAGGAACGGCATGCTTCCTCCTGTGCCCCTTTCCTAAGACAAAATGGCCCCAGGGAGGTGCTTTTTGCCTCACTTTGGGGCTGTACATATTGTGAAGTTTGGCTGTGACCTCCAGGCACAGATGAGTAACTCCCTGCTTACCTAGTCTTGAATCTCAGCAGTCAGCACTGACTGCTGAGGTTCAGGGCTAGGTGAAATGGAACCTGCTCGTGTAGGTCTGAGTCTAAGTGGTACAAGTATTTTTAAGTTGCCCTCTCTCAAGATGCAATATTTTGAGGAATTTTTCTCTTTGCTGCCTTACTGATCTGCTCTCACCCGTTATTATGAAAAGAACGGATATTGTGTCTAACCAAAAGGAAGACAACCCTGCATGTAAGATGACGTCCCTAAAACACAAATCATACACAAAACAACGTTTTTTATTGCCATATTACCATATCATAATATCACCATATTACTTGTATGCAAATTTAAGAAACACACATATTTTTTTTTTCTTGACAGCACCCCTGGGGGGGGGGAATCCTAGTCTTCCATTTTTGGTAAATAGGGTATTTTTCTTTTCAGCTATGAATGATAAACCCTACTCCCAAATACTATTCCTGATCAAAAGAGCCCATGGGAGCCACTGTTTGTTCTATTGGAAAATTTGTGTTGCTACCCACAATTTTTGCAACAGAACAACGAACAACTCTGGTTGCAATCAGAATTGGGCTTGTGTGCATGTGGGAGATACAGAACTCCCATCTCATAATAATAAGAGGTCCCAACTCCAGGTTGGGAAATTCCTAGAGATTTGGGGAGGGCAGCGTTTAGAGAGGAGGGAGCTCATCGGTGTATAATGCCATAGAGTCCACCCTCAAAAGCAGCCATTTTCTCCAGGGACACGGATCTTTGTAGTTTGGATATGGGTTGTAATTCCAGAAGATCTCAGGACCCCACCTGGAGGTTGGCAGCTATACTCATAATACAAGTGGCAGCCACAAGGACTTTGTGTCATGTGAACTGGCCCTAAGTGACTACAGGACCATGGCAAAAATCATCATGTATTACTTCAGCTGTTAAGAGACTCCAAATTGCTATTTTACCAATTATCCTGGCAGAATGGTAGCTTCTTTGGATAGTTAGTACAAAATAGCTGTGCCCCTTCAGGTGATGTCATGTTAGCATTTTAAACAAATCCACTTGTAAGGAATTGTGGTGAGGGAAGATGGGGGATTTTTATCTCCATCTGTGGTTTATTGTCTTCTTTCATGTTTCAAATGAAGCAACAACTAAAGCAGGCCAGTCTGACAAATGGAAATCCAGTTCTGAAACTGCCAGTTAAATCACACAAATCTTTTTATTTGTTCTTTAGGGTATCTATGCCAGATATCTATTGGGAAATTCTGCTGCGGAAAATAGCCACGAGTTCGGCAATCTGGTGAAACCTTTGGCAGAAAGAGGATTACAGCTCACAAGAATGTAGGAATGTTTCAGAAGCTTTTAAAGATGGAACTAGTTCTTTTCAGATCAGTTGAGGCTGTGGCGTGCTTGTGCACATTTAAGGCCAGATAGATGAAGAAAAGGTTTATTAACCCATCTGGGTTTTTCTTCTAGGACACCAGTTACTACTGGCTTTCAATCGTATAGTATAGGAGAATTATTCCAGCAGTCTCAAAAGGGTAAGGAAGTGCTTCAGAAGGTGAAGGACTTCATGGAAAAACATATTTTTCCCGCTCAAAAGGTAAGAAATGCCAAGCACAATACAGGCCCAAATCCAGTTACTATTATCTACTAATACAAATGGGGCTTAATTTTGTTGTGGGTTATATGTGTAAAAACTAAGTTTTGGTAAGAAAATCTAACCAAGCCACATTTTTATATAAAATATTCATCCATTAATAAACTGCATTCGTGAACATAGGACATAAATAACTTTTAATCCTTAGCTGACCTTTACAGCCCTTGACATCGAACCTAGTTTTACCCTTATTGGCAGAAAGTTTCCAAGGGAGTGAATGACCACATGCACAGGGCAGCAGATTTTCTGTATTGTTAAAAGTTGTGTAGAAAAGTGAACGTTGGCTTGTGCAGATGAGTGACAAGTTGTTTCTGCAAATTTGTCTCTTCCACACAATTCTTAAAAATATAAGTCCCAGCTTCCTTTTGGAATAAAGTTGCCCTCTCTGCCTAAATCTTGTGCTTTCACAGGTAGAACCACTGACAGAATGCTAGATCTTATAAACTTACGGTTCCCAAGACCCTGGTGGGGGTCCCCCACGCCAAGCTCTTGTTGCCCCCCCCCCCATCATGTTGCCTCAACTCCAACCCTCTTTCTGGGCAACCCTATATAAACTGTCCCACAAAATATATTAATTCTTTGAATGAAAAGTGTCAAGATAGTATCACACAACCGATTCCTTATGGTTATACCAACTAATAATCAACATATTTCACAAATCTTTAGTACTGTTACTTATTTAGAAAATTGATATGGTGCTTCTCCAGAGACCTGTTTGATGCAGTTAGCAAAGTAAAAGCAACATTATAAAATTGTAAAAGCAACAGCCATGAAATGATCAGTATTAAAACCATTTCTTCGGTGAGGCAGTGTACTGTTTTGTAGTCATTAAATGTGTAGACTCAAGATACTCGAATTCACAATCCCAGGAGACATATATGACTTTCCCCTCCAATGCAGTGTTCAAATGACAGAGGGTGGTGGGGGTGGTTCTGCCCTGTATCTTTTGTGATGGCTGCCTTCACTACTGTCATATGGGAGACCAATAGGTCAGGGACCAAGGGCTTGTGGATTTTGTTAAAAGACCCATATAGTTGGAGCACTTATTACTCATTATCTTTTACGACAGGAGAGAAATACATAGAAATTGAACTTAATAACAATCTACTAAGTCATATGGAGAAGAGAGAATACAACTGTAATACCTCATGAGTATTCTTTATTGATGTATTTTTTTCCCTAGGAAATGGCAGAGTATTATGTCAGAAATACGAATTCACCAGACATATGGAAAAAACCTGCACTGATTGCAAAACTGAAGGTACAAGTCTTTTCTCATCTTCCAGCCCATGGAAAGATGGAGCTGGTGCAGAGTTATGTGCACATTTTACATTAAAAATAAGTTTTAAAAAATGTTTGTGGCTTTTATTCTAATTATCATAACTAATGCTTTAAAAGAGCGAATTTTATCATCCTGATCCACAGACTAGAATGTAATCAAAGGTAAGTCCTGTTGATCTCTTGTGAAGCTGGGCCAAGGCCAAATTCTATCCCAGGTTCTCCAGCATAGATGCTGCTAATAACAAGGCTGCATTCAATGGTATCTTGGATGCAAGACTTTGGATATAACATTGATATTGATGAATGGTCCAAAATCTGGAAAGTAATAAAATATACACGAGCAATACCATATAAGGAATATATATATAAAATGTTTTTTAGGTGGCACTGGTCACCAGATAAAATTGCGAAATGTTATCCAAATCTATCTAAAACTTGCTGGAAATGTAAACATAGCATTGGCACCTTCTACCATATGTGGTGGAGGTGTAACATAACACAAATTTACTGGCATAAGATACAGAAACTTATATCTGAAATCATAGATATAGAACTACCATATAGACCAGTAATATTTCTGTTAAATATCTTGCCAGATAAGTATAAAAAAACAGATCAATATATATTAACATATATGCTAACATCGGCTCGTATTATATTTGCTAAATATTGGAAACAGAGAAAAATACCCTTGAGAGATGAATGGATATATAGAATGTTGAATATTGTAGAGATGGATAAATTAACACTAATTTTGCAAGGTAAAGATGACAATATATTTAAAGAAAGATGGGGGAAAATTGTTTGTGGTTAGACAACAAATGTTAACATAGACTCATGATATGATAATTACTGTAATACAATCAATATATTGTGTTTTGTATAATGTAAAAACCTTATAAATAAAATATTTTTAAAAAATAACGTTCCATAATACTGTGAAAACAAAAATGTCAATGTTTCATTTTAGTTACTATTTATTTATTTTGTATTTGAATGTATTAAGCAGAAAAAACTATTTGAAAGTAGGACTGTAATGCAATGCATGTTTATTCATGAAGAAATCTTACTTACCTCAGTGAGCCTCATTTGTTGTAAAGCCACACAGGGTTGGACTGTGTGGGCAATATACACTGAGTCAAGGGTGCTATCAAGTTTATAGCATGGCTGGCCTCTCCCACCATATCATGCCAATTCTATTGCTGGAAACAGGGCTAGCTACGTCAAGCAGACAGATCAGGTAGAGATGGGAAATGGGTGGAGGGCACGTTCTGTCTCTACACTAATTCCCACACTTTCAGTGCAATTCAATTCTATGAAGAGTTATGCACTTTTAAACCTGTTAAAGTCAGTGGGCTTAGAAGGGTGAAATTCTGTTTAGGATTGCACTGTTTGTGTCCGAACCTTGCCCTAGGGGCATGGGGGGAAAGGATGTTGTCGATGTAATTTCTGGCTAAAACCTAGAAGGGACGTAGCCCACCCTGTAGGACCAAAGAGATCAGCAAAATCCTAGAGCATTGGTGCCATCACTTCTGGGCTTTCAATGACATGTCCCATTTTTCTCCTGCCACTCATTTGAACTCTCATTGGTGACAGCCAAGTCAGTAGTGGACATCAGCATAATCTAAAGAATTAATGCTATTTGGTTATTGGACCACAGTGCATCCTAAAGTTTTCTGGTGCGATCACTAACTTAAGCAGTTATCGTACACCCAGTTTACAAAGATGGGAAGAGGAAGTAAAGAACTGCAGTGGTCTCTTTGGATGCAGATCTAGGAGCCAGATTACTGTGTTCTTGTTTTTCCTTTGAAACTAGGTGTTTCATGGAAGATCTTTGTTCTTAAATGCATATCAGAAGAGTTTCCAGAATCTGGGCTATCTTGTGAGCATGGGATCTGTAGCATAACACAGAACAGCAGCCCATCCTGGAATGGTGTTGGGACACTTAGCATTCATTTGAGAAAGCTTGAACAAATTTTATTAGGCCCTGCTGATATCTACAACACTAAACAGAGTGACCCAGTTGCATTTCTAGATCCTTTGTCAACACAGTTTTTAAGGTGGCTGTGAATGGAACAGCGAAACACCAGACTGCACCAAAGGGTATTGTTTGATGTAATTGGCTAAGAGATAAGGAAGAGGGTGGGAAAAGAGCTCAAATGTACAGCCCAACCCTAGACATATTTACTTGGAAATAAGGGGAACTGAAAGCAGCAGAACTTGCAGTTGTAATGGGCAGAATGATTGTTTAATATCACGGGAGAAGATCATGGGTATACCTCCCCTTTCAACAAACAGGGTTGACAGGTGCCCCGCCCCATGACGTGGGTGCTGGGGGAAGGCAGGAGGGGGAATCACGTGGTTGCTGGTAGGGAGGGGGTGCTGTGGGGGCGGCCGCAGGCCGCCCCTCCCCCCTGGGCTGGCGTGTGGAGCACAGGGTTGATTCTGCGAGGTGGGGGGGAGGAAAAAAATGGCTGCTTGAAGCACATGGCTGCTTTGGAACGTGTTTGGGGGCCAAGGAAGAGGCTTTTTTGTGGCTGGAGAGTGCTTTGAACGTGTTTGGGGGTGTCTGGGACATGTGTTTGTGGCTGGTGTTTTTCTGAAAACTGTGAACGAGTGCTGTATGCAGCTTTTTTCCTCCCCCCCACCTCGCAGAATCAACCCTGTGCTCCACACGCCAGCCCAGGGGGGAGGGGCGGCCTGTGGCCGCCCCCACAGCACCCCCTCCCTACCAGCAACCACGTGATTCCCCCTCCTGCCTTCCCCCAGCACCCACGTCATGGGGCGGGGCACCTGTCAACCCTGTTTGTTGAAAGGGGAGGTATACCCATGATCTTCTCACGGGTACTTGTTCAATGAATCTTTCTTTCTTTACATAGGAGAAGGCAAAAGCAGAAGGTCTCTGGAACCTTTTCCTTCCAGCTATCAGTGGTCTTGGCCAGGTGGATTATGCACTGATTGCTGAAGAGACTGGGAAGTGCTTCTTTGCCCCTGAGGTGTTCAACTGTCATGCACCAGGTTAGCAACATTTTTACATCTTGTATACAGTAAGCAGAGACTTGGAGCCCAAGTTTCCATTCCCCCGACAGTGGAGCCTTCCTAGCATTGCCCGTTCTGGGTTAGGAAATACTTGGAGATTTTGCAGGTGGAGCTTGGGGAGGAAGTCTCCTGGTGCCACCTGGAGGTTGGCAACCCTAAGCCTTCCTCTGGCAGAACAGGGATGTTCCTTTGGTGGAAGGAAGGTTCCACCATTACTGTAATTAAACCATTGGAGCCAGACCACAAACAGAATAGGAATGGCAATAAACAAGCCAGTTTGGTGTAGTGGTTAAGTGCGCGGACTCTAATCTGGGAGAACCGGGTTTGATTCTCCACTACTCCCCTTGCTGCTGGATGACCTTGGGCAAGCCATAGTTCTATCAGAGCTGTTCTCGAAAGAGCTCTCTCAGCCCCACCTGCCTCACAGGGTGTCTGTTGTGGGGAGGGGAAGGAGTTTGTAAGCCGCTCTGAGACTCCGAGTTAAGGGCGGGGTATAAATCAAATCTCCTTCTTCTTTCAACCAGACACAGGAAACATGGAGGTCCTGCATTTGTATGGGTCAGAAGACCAGAAGAAACAATGGCTGGAGCCTCTGCTTGAAGGGAAAATTAGCTCTTGCTTCTGCATGACAGGTAATGGTGTCTGATTTTCAAAGCATGAAGTGGATGTGTGTGTGTGTGTGTGGGGGTACGACGACTGTGATCTTGGTTCTTAACTGCATTGTAATGATTTATTACAACTAAACAAACATAACCTCAACCCAATACGAAGTCTTCTCTGCCCTTTCCTCCACATGTTTAATCCAGTGTTTCAAAGGTGCTAACAAAAGTGCTGTCTGATGAAGGGAGCTTCGGCTCTTGGTTGCCGTTTGAGGTGCTGCTGGATTTGAATCTTGCTCTGCTAATAAAGTGCAACAGATAAGGGTTCATCCTCCTAAATTTGTATGTGGCAGAATCAATTTGACAGAAGAATCCCTGATAGATTCCGAATCGCTGCATTTTCAAAGGAACGTTCAAGAGCAAGTTAGCTGTATGCCAAGCCTTTAATATACCAGCTAGCTGGGGGGTTGTAGGAAATGACTGAGAGCTCTCTCAGCCCCACCTGCCTCACAGGGTGTCTGTTGTGGGGAGGGGAAGGAGTTTGTAAGCCGCTCTGAGACTCCGAGTTAAGGGCGGGGTATAAATCAAATCTCCTTCTTCTTTCAACCAGACACAGGAAACATGGAGGTCCTGCATTTGTATGGGTCAGAAGACCAGAAGAAACAATGGCTGGAGCCTCTGCTTGAAGGGAAAATTAGCTCTTGCTTCTGCATGACAGGTAATGGTGTCTGATTTTCAAAGCATGAAGTGGATGTGTGTGTGTGTGTGTGGGGGTACGACGACTGTGATCTTGGTTCTTAACTGCATTGTAATGATTTATTACAACTAAACAAACATAATCTCAACCCAATACGAAGTCTTCTCTGCCCTTCCCTCCACATGTTTAATCCAGTGTTTCAAAGGTGCTAACAAAGGTGCTGTCTGATGAAGGGAGCTTCGGCTCTTGAAAGCTGAAACCCCGAATGTCTTGGTTGCCGTTTGAGGTGCTGCTGGATTTGAATCTTGCTCTGCTAATAAAGTGCAACAGATAAGGGTTCATCCTCCTAAATTTGTATGTGGCAGAATCAATTTGACAGAAGAATCCCTGATAGATTCCGAATCGCTGCATTTTCAAAGGAACGTTCAAGAGCAAGTTAGCTGTATGCCAAGCCTTTAATATACCAGCTAGCTGGGGGGTTGTAGGAAATGACTGAACCAGGGATCATTTCATGCAGGAGCGCACAGGAGCAGAGCTCCGGCAGCAAGTAGCTCAGGGGGCGGGCACATGCAACAAGCCCCGCCCCCTGCTACCAGCAGCCCTCAGCCGGGCCACGAGGAGCAAGAAGTAGCCAGGTAAGTTGCAGAGCCCCCCCATCCCCCTTTAAAACAACTTGATCCTGGAGACTGAACCTGTTCTGCACACCAAACAGATGCTCTCCCAGTGAACAGCAGACCCTTGTTTATTTTTAAAAATGAAGGATAGAGTCACCCTTTGTCCTTGTCGTTTCCTTAGACTGGCCTGGATACTGCAGAACTTCCTCTGAGCCACTGGTACCATCGAGGGTGAGACCCATGGTCTCATCGTGCCAATCTTGGCTTTGCTTCACGCACCCGATCCCCAATGCTGGCTTGAGTTCACTTTCATTATTTCGCCCTGGTGATGCTCATGTCTTGCATGGCTAAAGCCGGGAATTGGCAGAGGCTGTGAAGTATTCTGGCCAAGTCCCACATAGACGACGAAAAACACCCATTGATGTCTGTAGGGTCTGAAAATGTGGATGTTGCCAAGAGCTCCTCAGGAGCTTGGAAAGCAGGCAGCGGGTCAGACTTGGACAGTCCTTCACTGCACATTTTAAAGTTCAGTTTCGTGCAGTTTGCAAAAAAAAAATCCACCCTACTTTAGGTAGACTCCCAGATTACACTGCAGGCGTTACACTTTACACTACCAGCAATTCAAAGGACATACATGAACAAATAGAAAATTGCTGCAAGTTCACATACAAAAATGAATAGACAATAGTAAACTTGATAACGATGACGTTTTGTGATGTTTAATGTCTTTGTTTTTCAGAACGTCATAAACAGAAGATGACATCAACCAGAAGTACGAACATCTCGAGTGGTTGTTCGTTTCGAAGAACTCTTTATCAACCAAATTCAGTTCTCAGGTTGTCTTATTACACTCAGTAGTGATATCAATCTTATCCAGCACAGCTCCAACAGCCCACGGCTAACAAGTCTTAAGTTCGGACAACTTGAGAACCTGAGAACTGAATTTGGTTGATAAAGAGTTCTTCGAAACGAACAACCACTCGAGATGTTCGTACTTCTGGTTGATGTCATCTTCTGTTTAATGACGTTCTGAAAAACAAAGACATTAAACATCACAAAACGTCATCGTTATCAAGTTTACTATTGTCTATTCATTTTTGTATGTGAACTTGCAGCAATTTTCTATTTGTTCATGAATGTCAGGGGTTGAACCTGGGACCTCTTCTGCGTACAAAGCAGAGGCTCTTCCACTGACCTATGGTCCCTCCTCAGTTTTTTCTCTTTTAATAAAAGTCTTAACTACATGGCATTTTGGATCTGTATGTTTCAACCTTGAGTGTAGTGATCTGCACTAAAAAATTTTTTTTAATGATCATTAAGTTGTTGGTTTTTTTGCAAAGCACCCCCTGCATGTGTAGGGTTGTCAGGGAGCACGGACATTTTGTAAGGGCAATAATATGGAGTAGTGGGACAGTTTTTGAAAGGAGTCTTTATCAGGAAACCCACTGTGTAGGCTCAAGTGGATCTACAAGTATGTGCTTGATATGGTGAGAGTGTTCCATGGCCGTATTGCTGTTTTATTAGCTGTACATCATGCCCACTACATGTTCTAGTCATTTTATTTTGTCACAGAACCAGATGTTGCTTCGAGTGATGCCACCAACATGGAATGCAGCATTCAGAGAGATGGAGACAGATATATAATTAATGGGAAGAAGTGGTGGAGCAGTGGTGAGTGTAAACCTTTCCTGGAGGGTATGGGTTGGTTCTGTTACTGTAGGATAAAGAATCCAACAAAGAGTCACGTTGAAAGTTGTCCCTCTTTATCCATTCCTCCTGTGTGCCTGCTTTTGCTGCATAAACACTACAGAGAGAGCTTTTATTTGTGTCGTGTTTAGAAAAGACCTTTTGTGCTGACATGCTAGAAGATCCAGTTTAAGTCTGTCTATAGGTTGGTCCGTGTATGATCTCAGCATTAGGTTTCACATGCAACGGGGGTCCTTAATGTTCCATGTGCAGTGTGGGTGGATACATGAGTCCATGTCACAGTCCTCTGTCCCAAGCATGTAAAACTTTCATGCTGGGATTGTATGGTAATTAGTTATGCCCCTTAAATAATGCACATGAAACATAACTCCTGCAGAATGTGTGAAACCACAGATGCATCAAGCAGTCTTTTTAAACATATATTTTATTTATTATTTAAAAATGTGTTTAAAGCATTTTGGCAAAGCGTACAAGTATATGATATTCGATGTGATCTCTGTGCTTCACACCCATGGGATCTAGTGCGCACGCGCTAGATCGATCGGTGCTGTAGCAAGCTCTTTTAACGGATTTTCGCGCCCAGTCCCTCGGGCATGTGCAGGAACCCCACCGCGCATGCCCAGAGGGGTGGGCGCGGACATCCCGCCAGTTCCTTTCTTACCGCCGCGTTGGAAAGACCTCTTTCTTTGTCGGTCTGATCGGTTCGCTGTTCGCTTTTGCCTCACAGCTTTTAAGAAGTATTTCCATACTTTATTTTTCTGTTTTAGTCATTTGTTCTTCAAAAATTAAAAAAAACCCTTTATTTTCTTCTGAGGGGAATTTACCTCAGTACTTCGAGCTACCCGGGACTTGGCGCTACCCCCCCCCCCCAACCGTTCCCTCCACTTCACTTCTTTATGGAGAAGAAGTGGGGATTTTTCAACAGATGCAAGCATTGTCGTAGCAAACTTGCTCCTCCCGACCGTCATACCCTCTGCATTTTTTGCCTCGGAGAGTCTCACAAGCCAGAGTCCTGTCGTCACTGTGCTCGCTTCTCCAACCAAATGAGGAAGAACCGTGCTGTGCGCCGTAAAGTGGCGCTGCTTGAATCGGCCCTTGCTCCTGCCTCAGAGATGGAGGAGAGACCGTCTACATCGACAGCTCCGGCATCAAGACCTGCCTCCGATGTCGACCGCCTGACACCGAAGCTCCTGATATCAAAGGCACGATCGTCCACCTCCACACCAGTCAAAAAGAAGGCTAAGGCAAGTACAGAGCTTAAGTCAGCAAAGAAGGGCACCTCGAAGTCCCTTAAGGCGGCGAAGAAGGGGAAGGAAGCGGTGCCTACACTGGGTGATGCCCCTATAGTACCTCCCACTCCAACGGCAGTATCGATATCGGAGGCCCAAGTCCCTTCACCGATACAGACCATCCATGTATTGGACTCCCCTGTCCACCAAACAGAGCCTCCTTACTCCGACATCGAAACGGTAGAGCTCCTAAGTCATCAGATGGATGCAGAGCATTCTCCGTCTCCTTCTCCGTCATCGACATTGACGGTATCAGAAGCTCCCGACATCGATCCATGTCGGCACTGATATACCTCATGTGACACGCAGCATCACCCTCCTTGTCTGCACACTCAATCTGTCGATATCGACGACCGATGTTACAGGGACAATGGCCACAGACAAGCTAACGCTTTGTCTCCCAGATGTCCACGGTCCAGAAGTCGCTCCCCCAGAGTCTTCCTACCCCCCACACACACCAATGTTGTGGGATCAAAGACAGTTGATACTGGATTCACAGACATGCATGGCTTACCTGCCCCAAGACAGGGCAGCAGATATCATTTCCCTAGCCACAGACATCCGTATCCAACCCTCCGTCACTGCCTTCCAAATCCAGAGGCTATTAGGCCTGATGGCTGCAACTACGTCAGTTCTCGTCTTCGCCAGGCTCAAAATGCGAGTTGACGGATGCACACTGTTTTCCCATCCACTTTCAAAACGTTTTTTAAAAGGTTTATTGCATCTCTACCCTCCTGTCAAAACTCCAGTTGTTCCCTGGGATCTTCCTCTAGTTCTCTACCAGCTCACGAGGAAGCCCTTTGAGCCGCTCGCAACATGCGACCTCAAACTTCTAGCATAAAAAACGGCCTTTTAAATTGCTGTCACCTCGGCTAGGCGAGTGGGAGAAATATTGGCTTTCCGGCACGATACACCTTTCCTGTCCTTTCTCCCAGACGTCCGCCTCGTTCCGGACATCTCTTTCCTCCCGAAGGTGGTGTCAGAGTTCCACCTGCAGGCGGAGGTCTTCCTCCCTGACTTCTTCCCAAACCCAACGTCAGCAGAGGACAGATTATTACACACCTTGGACGTGAAGCGGGCTCTCCTGTTCTACCTCACTAGAACATATCCAACTAGATGAGACTCACAACTTTTCGTCTCGTACGCTCCGGCACGTCTGGGTACATGGCCCAGCGCCTGTCAAAGTGGATTGTAGGTCTAATCCATCTATGTTACCTACTCGCCAAACAGCCATCACCTGGCCCTGTCAGAGCTCACTCTACCAGGGCTGTCGCGACTTCCACTGCCTTCCTCCAGGGAGTGCCAATAACGGACATCTGCAAAGCCGCTACCTGGGCCACGCCGAACACCTTCATCAGGCACTACGCCCTAGACGTCCGTACCAATGCCAATACCAACATGGGACATCACATTCTGTCTTCGGCTACGCAGTAACAGACCTGCCAGCACCCCCCCTCCAGGTAGGCTGCTGCTCGCAGTGGTCATCTGTGCATTCACACCACCCGCCCTCCTTCCCCGCTGTTGTCAGCTTCTACTTTTTTTTAATAGGGGTTGATTTGCGGTGGTTTGTAGGAACTGGTGGGATGTCCGCGCCCACCCCTCTGGGCATGTGGGGTTCCTGCGCATGCCCAAGGGACTGGGCGCGAAAATCCGTTAAAAGAGCTTGGTACAGCAACAATCGATCCAGCGCGTGCGTACTAGATCCCATGGGTGTGAATGCACAGATGACCACTCGAAGATCACCAGTTACAGGTAAGCAACCTGTTTTTATCTTGAATGTGAAGTGCAGTTTTCTTGCCAGTTCTTGCCAAATATCAAAATACGTTAACAGTATTCTTCAAGACCATTACTAACCATGATGCAGACATCTTTACATACAAATTCCAAGAAAATACTGCAGTCCTGACTATATACTGTTCCTGATGTAATTAGTTGCACTAAAATGAAAAAATACATGGTGTCTTTAATTTAAACAACCCTGGGAAGTGGTGATAAAATCCATGTGAATACAGATGGCTACATACATGTATTGTTGTCATTAAACAACTTAGAAACTGGAAAGATATTTTTAATGCCTCAAACAGATCGCAGTTAAAAAAATAAGCTGTTACTGCAGTTGGGAAACATACCTAAGTGCCAGCTTTAATTGTGGCTGTCCAGACAAGGAGTAAGATTAAAGCTGTGTTTAAAAGCAGCATCTGTAACAAAACTTATTACATGTACAGTGCCAGGGCTTTTTGGGGGGGGGGGGGGAGGTGCCGGAACTCTGAAGCGGGAAATGAAAATGTCAAGCTGTATACTGAAAACTCAGGAGCTTTTAAATATTTTTAAAAGAATTTTGTTGAAGAGGTTCCAGAACTTCCCCCTGCGTCCCCCCAGGAAAAACCCCCCCCCCCCGAAAAAAAAGCCCCGTACACTGCAATCCTAAACAGAATTACACCCTTTGATGCCATTGAAGTCAGCAGATTTAGAAGGATGTAATTCTGTTTAGGATTGCACTAGTTACGGCATTACAAATTTCACCATTCCTTAGTCCATGGGGCTGGTTGGCGGGAGCAAGAAGAGATACTGCATCACAGCATCAGGATGCTGGGTACAATAGATGAAAAAAGAAAACAACAACAACACTTTTTTCCTGATCCAGTCTGCTAGAGAGAGAGAAAAAATCAGCCCTGGAGATAACAACTTTCCGAGTACTTCCGATCCCTCCTCTCACACATCCCCTCCCATGTTTGTTAAGCATGTCTCTTACTTTTGTCTTTCCCTTCCTCAGCTTCTCATAGAGTAGTCTATAGAAAGCAGATGATTGTACAATAAACTTGAAAGCAAGAGTGGTAAAGCTGTGCCATGCTAAGGGGTGTTCAGAAAACTGATGGCTCCAAGGTTTCTGCTTGACTTGGCCTGCATCACTCTACCAGTTTAAACAAGTATTTTGAGATGCAGTTCCGTGCCAAGGAGCACATACGTTCTGTTATCTCAGAGTCAGCCCTCAACATCTAAGCACTGAGTAGCTAACAGGGACTACAGAAACTACCCTCCTTCTCCAAGTCTTCTAGATAGTGAAGCTGCTTGTTTGCTCCGCAGATTCCTCGTGGCCCATGGGAATCTCTTCAGTTACTGTGCTTTGTTGTCTTCGCCAATAACCATAATTTTTCACCATTCTCACCATATACATTTTGAAAGAGGCTCCCATTAAAAAATACAGGATGGGGTTCAGGCAGCTGTGAAACAAGGCAATACTCTTAGTGACCTGGAAGGCAACATCGATGGCTTTGCTAATGTCGCAGTCTGTGATCAGGTGGAAGATAATATCTACGGCTCTCCAAAGCTTGACAATGTTGTAGGGCAGTTGGGTGAGGATAAAGGCGGAGACGACTGCCGCAAGGACTTTCAGGGGACGGGAGTTCTTGATGCTGGGGCTCTTAAGGAAAGCTCTGGCGACAGCCGAGTAGCAGATCACCATGATGAGGAAAGGCGACACAAAACACAGAGTGATTTCCAAGATTTGAATGGTTACTTTAAGCGTTACCCCAAGGCTCTTGGGAAATACAGGAAGACATTCAGATCTGTCATGTATTTCTATGATTGTGTTAAAAATTAGCTCGGGGATGCAAAGCAACATGGCAGCCGTCCAGACAACAGAACAGGTTTTGCTGCATTGGTTTGTAACTCTTCGCTGACTCTGGGGTTTGATGATGGCGTTGTATCTGTCCATGCTGATGCAAGCCATAAACTGCATTCTGGCACTGAAGGTCAATGTGTACACAGCAGAGGTGATTTTGCACAAAGCGATACCAAGCACCCATCCATGCACAGCATTCGCAGCCCAGAATGGGAGAGTGAAAAGCAGTAACAAATCAGCAATGGCCAAATTCATGATGTACACATCCGTCCGGCTCTTCAGTTTCTTGAAGTGGGCATAGATTGCAACCACTAAAGAATTTCCGGCAAGTCCAACAAGGAAAACAATGGAGTAAAATGCAGGTAGGAATGACTTCCTGAAACGTCGTACCTCTGCTTTGACACATATCTCTTCATACAAAGCATATTCAAAAGTATCATTCCATTCCTCATCGTTGTAAGAGTAATCTGAAGAATTTATATGTGGTTCCATGTAGAAAGCTGGTTGATAAAAATAATGCAAGTTAATTCCGTCTTGAAACACTTGCCTCATTTTATTTTTAAATGTAGGATTATATTTGAACCAAAGGCATAGACCAAGATAAACATCCCAATGGGGTCTTCCAGATGGGTTACCTGACTTGAGCTCACTGCTTTTGGGAATGTCCCCCCCCCCCACGCTTCCCCACAGTATTGTGGTACATTTGTGCACATGATTCCTTGGCTTTTCTACGATATTTCTCTGAAGTTTTGGGAAAGATCACAGTGAATCCTGGATGGATTGGGGAAATCAGGATTTTCTGGCCCATGTGGCAGCCATTTCCCCTTAATCTGTTCCTGCAGCAGCCATTTCCTCCCACAGCCACTGGGAGGCTTTTTTTTTTAATTGCACTAGAATATTATTGTCATATAGCATCAGAGGTCATTTCGGGGGGGATCGCGGGGTGTGTGGCCTTATGACACACTTCTGGTGATGTCAGGGGGTGTGACCTTATGACACACTTCTGGTGATGTCAGGGGGTGTGGCATATGCTAATGAGTTATGCTAATGAGTCCCCCTAGCTCTTTTTCTATGAAACGACCCCTGTATATCATTGTAACAACAGGTGTAGCAAGTTCGCTGAATCCTCAGATTTCATTTAAAAAAAGTAACACTATATCCCTCTCCCTTGCGGAGATAGAAGGAAAAGGGCACAGCTTCACAAGGGAGAGGGATAGAGACTTTAACAAAAAGGGAGAGGGACAGAGACTTTAACAAAAAACAAACAGAGGACCTGCTATACCTATTGGTATAATGATATTCGAGTGCTGATGTTTTTTAAAAAAACTGCAAAAGCCCTAGTGACTTAGAGAATGGAAGGTGAGGTGGCCACTTCTGTAGGACTGGAGCAGGAAAACTACGGGGAAACCTGCTATGTGGAAGACCCATCGCTGCTGTGTTTTATCTGCAGCTGCAGCAGCAACAGGAAAACCATGAAATCCTATTCCCGTGTGGAAGACACTAGTGGTCACTGCTCTGTGGCTAATCTCCCTTGGTGATGTCACAAGGCTAGGGCCAACAGCTTTACTTCTGGTTAAGAAGGAAGGAAGGAGTTCCCTTTGGCTACCAGAAAAGGCTGTGCTGGAAACCATGGGACTTGTATGTTACAAAACCATGCAGGATGGGGAATCGGGCAAGGCAAATCAAAAATGCTGGTGAAATCTAACCTATAATTTGGTTTCCGTCCCACCCCATCCCCAAACAGCTAGTGATGCGAAGAGGGACCAGGGAAATGCAGAACTTAATTGACATGTTGTGCTAGATATTATGGAGGATGGTAGGGACTAGTCATGTGACTGCCATTTTTAGCAACACACCATCTAGTTCAGCCCTAATGCTAAGCAAATCCATACGGAAGAAAGACTTACTGATTTAAGTGGGGTTTACTTCTAAGCGAGAGTGTTTTTGCTCACAGATTTAACTAAATTTAACTTAAAAAACAACAGAAAGGTATTTCAAAATGAAGAGTAATGAGTCAGAGGATGGAGGAATACCTAAACATCTACATTATCTACATTCTGTCCTTGAAAACGTGGCTCCTGGCCAAGGAACCAATGTCAGCTGGTTTGGCTGAGCATCATTTCCATTTCCTGATGGGTTATTGTGTCTCCTTGAGGCTGCAGCCTGCTGTGGGAAGCCCTTTTTAAAAGTATTTACAAAGCAAACATATAATTAAGGCTTAGTTTGTTCTATGTTAAGTCTACAGTATCCATTTGATTGTAGCTGGTAGAGTTTCAGCATTTCCAAGTGTTTTCAAAGGCTGGAGTTCAGAGGGCTAGGCATGAGCTACGGTGGGTGGTTAGGGAGGGAGCACCCATGGGGATTTTTCAGCCTTCCCACATCCTCTGGAAAGGCAGGCTCAAAGATCAGGGGACCATCTGGCAGGGTGATCCGTAAGCGGCAACTGCCAAACGGGACAATTGGCAAACCACACCCATCCCTGTGTGGGAATGACTCGCTCATGAGCACTCTTTGGATCCTAGCCGAACACTACAACAGATGATGCTAATATGCTTGCATAAACTGCACTGACGCTAATGAAATCAGGCGTGCCTCAACTCACTGAGCCTGGTGCTGATGGGGCTGTGTTTGACTTGAGCACAAGGTTATCGAGGTCCTGGTGAAAGTGTTGTGTAATATCGTTAACCCCCCCCCCCCCATTTCCTCCTCCTATAAAGAGCTGTGATTTACTTGGATGGTTGTACAGAAGGCATGTAAAGAAAAGCTTTATCTAGTAGCCCGTGGAAATTAGTATTATAGTAGGTGAAGCAGAACTCTGACTTTATTTTGAATGTGTGTACAAAATGTGGTAACATTCTGTGCCCTGAGGATAGCATCCAAGGCAACGCATCGTCATGACAAAAGCTACAAAGCCAATCGCAATAGCAAGAGACAATTTAAAACGTGTACAATCCCAAATGGAAAGAATTATCCTCAGACAACTTGAACGGGTAGGATTCCATTCATACCATAATGGTCCCTCTGCTTCAATTTTCCACTTATGTGGTATTTGTGGCTTATTAACTATCTGAATGAGACCCTCAGGAGTGTATCTCTCTGACTAAGAGAGAGACTGAGATGCAGAAGAAGCGAGAGACATTCCTGGTGCTAGATGGGAGTAAAATCAAGCAGCACCTGTAATTTCTCTGCCATAATATCTGGAACTCATCTTGAAGAAGAAGAAGAAGAGGTTGGATTTATACCCCGCCCTTCACTTGGAGTCTCATAGTGGCTTACAAACTCCTTTCCCTTCCCCTCCCCACAACAGACCCTCTGTGAGGTAGGTGGGGCTGAGAGAACTCTGACACAAACTGCTCTTTTTCAAGGACAGCTGTGCCAGAGCTTGCGACTGACCCAAGGTCACATCAGCAGGTGCAAGTGGAGGAGTGGGGAATCAAACCCAGTTCTCCCAGATTACAGTCTGCACACTTAACCACTACACCAAACTGGCTCTCTTGGAACCTTTAGTCTTACTAATTACAAAGCACGTAATTGCTGGCAGATTTTGCTTAACAATAAAATTTGCAATGAGAACCTACTGAGTTTTCAAAGAAATTATTAACCAGGTTTTTTTTAAACATACTTTTCTAATCCCGTGGAGGTGAAATGGACCCCGAGTAAATCATAGAGATTAAAAAAAGAACAACCACATAACCTTGTGTGTTTCATTGAGCATTGCACCAGCTGCAAATGAAAAAAAAACCACCCCTGCACTTCTTTGAGTATTTTCCTTTGGCAGTACAGAAAAGAATTACAGGAAACACACCAGGTGGAAATTCAGGAAAATCCAATTTTGTCACCTTTACCCTTTATGTGTGTTTCACTTTCCCATTCAGTGTGTGGGGAGAGGGAAATGACCCCAAAGCTGTCAGAGCAGACAGTGCAATTTACAAAACATAAAACAATTGACTTGCTGAGGCTGAGGAATACGCAGTTTATGGAACTGTAGGAAATAGATAAGAAAATTAGCCATTCCCCCCACCACCACCACTACTACAAGTCCCACTTTTTTGATTAAGGGCTTTATTAAAATACTTTAGTGCACCATAGCTGATTCTAGTTTGAAAGGGCTGCTGTGGATGTGCTTTGACAAGCCACCTGTTTAAAGTAAAAAGAAAGGCAACTTTCTAAGTGAGTTTCAGTGCAATCTTCAGTAGATTACACCCTTCAAAAACAAATAAAATCAATTGGGCTTCAGAGGGTAGGACCCTACTTTGGATTGCACAATTTAAATGCCTTTTGTCATTCCCAGTCAGGTCTTTCGTAAACTATATAGTAAGCCATCTCTTCTCTATAAAATGTGCCCTTCTCTATAATCCACCCTGTGTCTGAAAATACTAACGGCCAATTCCAGGATGCTTCGGTCTGCCTAGAAGCAGGCTTGATTCCCCCGTGGCTGGCAACAAAAAGCAGAGCCTCCAACTGTGCCCCCCCCCAAAGCACCTCATTCCGTTCTTCCTCATAAGTTAAATGGCTACCATTTCTTCTTCTTGGGAAGGTAAAGTACCGCATTTGGGGAAGCTGTTACAGTAAGGCAACACTTCCCTTTACCCTAGACACTGCATGTCACAGCCTTTACTGACCAAGATCTCATAGGAATTATTGGCAGGCATCATAAATTTTAAAGGAAGTATTCATGACTGACCTGACTTTATTCGGATAGCAGGAGCTGCAGTCGGGAACTCCGTCTGTGGAATGCAGTTCTTGTGCACTGACTCAAGAATTTTGTTTTCCTTCCAGCACCACCACGCCTTTGATTTCCAGCATGTAACTGTCTTTTCCATTGAATGTCATTTGTTACCAGTGTTTGCTCGCTCTTTCCTGGAAACCAGCTGTTGCATGTGAGCCATGGTGGACGTCAGTTTGCCTTAAACCTGAACAACATTTTTTTTCCTTCGGAAAACCACTTAGTGGCAAGGAATGTGTATTTTAAGGATGCATCAAGCAGTTGTCAGAGGGCAGTGGAAATAGTTGAATCTAGCTGTAAGCATACTAGTTCAGATGATAACTTTTCCAAAGTATAACCCCCCCTAAGCCTCTAGAAGCAAGCTGAAAAAGAATGGGCTGTATGCCATCAAGGAATGGCACGGTTGCTGGGGCCTACATACAGCCCAGCAGAAGGCCCACTGCTCACCTTTGACAGCCCCCACAGGAGGTGAGAAATCGCTTGAGAGGCTCCTGCTCCATTGTTGCGGCCTTGCAGGTGATCTTGTAGGTGAAGAGGTGCTGTCTTGCTCCCCTAAGTGCTTGGAGTCTCCTGAGTTAAATTTTGCCCTATGGCTCATCAACCCCAGACAGTTAAGAAGATGAAAATGGACCACCTATTTTTTAAAAATTGCATACTTTAAGGGCATAATCTGCATACTGTTAAATTTGGGGGTTAGCAGCCCTCCTGTGGAACTTCAAGCCTCCCTCCCCCACACATACTGAAACAACTTCAGCTCACAGTCTCCACGTGGCCACCAAGGAGACAGGAAACACATGCTCACTGAATTTTGGTACCCGTGCTCCATCGGAGAGTACAGAATATGAATCTGTCAAAGAAAAAAAAAGTAATACTTTAAAAATAAAAATTTTAAGCTTCTACAGTAGAGAAATTACAAGAAGTCTGCTTGTAGTTGAATGTGCCAGCATTCAGTCCGATGTCGGCTTTGGGTCCGCAAGATGGCAGTGGAGGCTGCTATTGCATTAGAGTAATCTCTGCTGCTCACTGAGGTAGTGTTTCATACCGACAGTCTTTTGCTGTACTATCTGATGGTTTCATGGCTGTAATGATTTCAGCTTCTTAGACGTACAGATACAATGAGTGAGATCAGTTCACTTGAATATTTTGTTAAGTCGTTTTTGTCAGATGTGACTGTAGTATTGCAGTGGAGAACAGTACTTTCGACGCAGTTCACTACATGACAATTGTTGAAGCCACTATTGGGAAGTGTGGTAAGCCATGAACTTCGTACCCTATTCAATGTGTGGAGATCATGATATTCTGTTCTGTTGGTGGTTGGGGGAGGGATGATGTTGCCAAGCCACAGCTTTGGTGATGGCCTCGGTTTCTCCACTGTCTTCTGTCGGTAATTGCACTTCAACACGTTAGGTGAGAGGGGGGAAATATGGCAACATAGTTGTGATTGCCAATCTACGTACTCCTACAAGATCCATTATTCCAATACTTTTGTGTGACTACTGCAGTCGTGGCGGCGGCTGGGGCCATTTTGTGACCCCGTGGCACCAGTGTCCCCTGTTGGGCTCTGGGTACTCGGCTAAACACCCACTGGCCTCAATATAGGTTGAAAAGTTCATGTGTTCAAGAGGTGTTAGCTTGAATCTGGATTTAAAACGTCTTGCTAGGTTTCAAGTATACCAGTGGTAAAAACCCCGACCTGTTTCAATTCAAGGAATTTATCTGGATGGTGGTAGCTGCTGGGCATTTGGGTTTCTGAGCTTTGTACATTTATTTGGAAGTACGCTGTACTGATTTTAGTGAAATTTATTTCCAAATTAAGGCGATTACTACTGGAGACTTAACATCCCAATCCTAAACTCATTCACTAAGAAGTGTATCTGTGTTTCATATCTTTTAGGAGCTGGAAATCCAAATTGCAAATTTGCAGTTGTGATGGCCAGAGACAAAAACACCTCTGCATCCAGGTAAGAGATGAGTTATGATACATGTGTTTGGAATGTCCACTCCAAAAAGAGACATAACATAAATTCCCACAGTGTCACTTTCTCCAGTGACCGTATCGGATTCCCGTATGGTTTAGAGCAGCTAATCCAAAACTGTGGGGCAGCACATCAGAAAACCTTTGTGCTTGTTGGGGAACAACATAAGCTCTTTGTATTTCACATGCAATGGGAGTTTTGTGCCCCCTAATCAAGCACCACCAGCATTTTTTTGTTTGTGACTGCAGTGTGCACAGAGAGGCAGTTGTAGCCTACCCCCACCACCACCACTGATTTCATGTCCACAAACCACTCCATGGAGTCGGTATTATATCAACAGATATAGAGCCAAGAAAAAGAAGACAACTACTGGCTGTGAAATGGTCATGCCTAATTGAAGACAGCCTGTTTTTTAAAGTTGTCCCCCCCCCCGGTGTTGAAAATTCATTACATCTAGGCACGTGGCAAACAACGTGGCAAGCAGATTTCATATAGGGCCACTGGTGTTGGTAACCCTTCCTATACCTGGCTGTTCAGGAGCTAATGCCTGCATGGTGCTGACTCAGCCCCCCCCCCCACAGGTGCCTGCCAGAAAGGTCTCAGGACTGTCCCCTCCTAGAGGGCAAAGGCAGCTTCTGCTTGCACACCACGCAGGAAATGAAGTTTATAAATCCCCTTTGTACCTGGAGAGCCTCCTTTCCTACATAACATGTTCTGTATTTTTAAAGAGAGAGTGAGTGGAACTCACTATCTGATATTACTTTTGCTTTGATTAGATATAAACAGCACAGCATGATTATTGTGCCAATGGAAACCCCTGGAGTCAAACTCATACGGCCTCTTTCAGTCTTTGGTTATTTTGGTAAGTAGGTTTCACAGCCAGCTATGATTTTTAGTGATATGACTTGTTTAAAGCACGTTCTAGTACATAACTATTATAGAAGTACCAGGAGGGATCTTCTTTCTCCAGTTCTGGCAGTGGAAAACTAAAATTGTTGTCCGATTCTCCGCATCCAAGATCAAGGGGGAGTAACATTCCATCTGGCGAGAACACCTTCCTCCAGTGAGTGAGAATAGCTGTTTAACATGTTGAATCACTGTGGAGAAATATGTTGTACTTTGGAGGTTTGTACTATACAGAACCTTCACCTTAGAA